AAGTGCTTACGCATTGCGGCACGCAGACCCCTTTTTGAAAGAGTTCTAAAAATAAAAGCCAACTCACGGTCAAGGTCCGATGTTCTCTTGTCTCGTAGATTCATGTATGTGGCAGGTCCCTCAGGAACACACAGGCAAATCCTCCGGGACAGGTACATGTTCAGGTACACAGGATAGCTGACATATTCTCCAGGATATGGATGTAGGAAAACAGACAGGTCCCACAGCACACACAGGAACATGGTCAGGTACAGTCTCAGCTTCCCATACCCTAGTGGGGTAAAAGAAATAAACATTCAGAGAAATTTCATGCCAAATTTACATACACACCAAGTATACACCAATGTTACAATTCACATAATATGCATGACAATATCATAATTGTGACGCAAAAGAATAGCATAGCCAAAAGTGAACATAGAGTATTCTGACCAATCAAAAATTACACAAAAATGCATCTCACACAAGATATCACATAAGGTATCACAATCCATTTCTTCCCAAACCTGCTTTGGTTGGGGGAAGAGCACATGGAACATTGTTATAATTAGTGAGGCAAAAGAAGGGCACAACAAACAGTGAACATACATGTAGTATATCATATTTGGCAAACAACAATCACATGATATGATATTTTAAGATATCACAATCCATTTGTTCTATTATACAGTGAGGCAAAAGAATCTCACACAACCAACAGTGAACATACTAGTACTGACCAAACAACAATCACATGAAAATACAGAATTAATGTTACATATAAAATATCACAATCCAAATAACACCATATGCATCTCATGTTGACCTTCATATGTACAAAAACGACAGAGGCAACGACAAATGGAAATGCAATTTCAAATATGAACTGAAAAACAGCTCACATGCACAGAAATACAGTAATTAGGCAATAGTGAAAATAGCATTTATAATAATTATAATTACAAGGTTATGATCCACGAAGTTAAGTAAGACATTATTTACACCAACTCAAAGTTATTACACAGCAGCTCATAATCATATGATGACTTTACCCACTGGCACATCCATCTGAAAACATTAATTTTTTCCATAAAATATGTGGTCAAACACTATTGCTTGAACTGGGAACAAGCAAAAGATACATTTATCATAAAGTCGTGTTACCACAAACATGAAACCTGTGAGTTGGTGCATGGTTCTAAAATCACACAGAACATACATGAGCTTCGTATAATTTCTAAATACAGCAATAAATGATATGGAGAAAAACACATGTCATGTCAAATTAATATGTATTCATATATCAATATCAAATAAACCATCATCATCACATGCAAACATGTGTCAATGAAACTGTCATGATTTCATTGCACACATGCAATTATATTAACTAATATTAGTAATAATAAGATTTCAACTTAGGAAGCAGTTGAAGTTTCCTGACTCCAAATGATTATGACTGTAAGTTCGAGAGTCTGTTTGGGATTTACCGCTCAACAACTAGTGCGTAGAAAAGTCCTGAACTGCTCCAGGCCAAAACACCGCTTCTCTGATAGCCGCGGCGACTGTTGCAGGGCTTCTCTTGCTTACAGTCTTTTACATTTAGCCCTAAATGTAAAAGACTGCAAGCAAGAGAAGCCCTGCAACAGTCGCCGCGGCTACTTCTCTGGCAGTCTTTCAGCTTATGGTGGATTCTTTGTGTCTTTTCTACAGACAAATTTACCTTCCTGAGCACTATGTGACCAAGGAGGTTAAATACAATGTATTTAACCTCCTTGATGTGACGTAGATCATTTCCCTGGATTTGGTCTTTGACACGAAACAACTGTGTTACCGCCCCCCTCCCCACTGGAAAATATTACCGGTCGTCTGTCTCCCCTCCTTCCAAATCTATCACCTTATCCATGTCATCCTCTACACAAACGGCACTATCGTGTTCCTCCAGCCTGATCTTGGCTTCGGAACACTTTAGTTTTACATTGAAACGCATAGAATTTGACCAAAACACACAGGACAACAACAAACCACGTTTCTAGCAAAGCTGTTCAGGTCAGGGGTCACATAAAAGCGCCCCTCAGCGGATTACTTACAAAGTGCATCTATTAAGATTGGTGTAGTTTTTCTATTTCAGGATTATCAATTTCACCCTCATTGAAATTGAATAGTAATTGATTGACCCATGTTCAAAGAACTGTTGTGGGTACGGTGCAAAAAATTGAATACATGAAAGAGCCTTTTTATCTTTCTTACTGGACCACACAAAAGCGCCCCCATCGGTTGCTTACTTGGTGCAGCGTTAACTCGTGGGGGGCAGTTGCCGCAATTTATTTTCAAAATTCTGTCTTTTTGCTTCGTTTAACTTAAAGGAGATTTATCTATAATAGTCTGGAGAGTATCAAAGACAATTTGAAGTACAACTTACCACCAAAACGGGCGTGGCGCGTCTTCCTGGGCGGAATTTTATCCAGCTCGTTCTTCCCTTCCATACACACTCGCCATCTTGGAAAGGCGTGTTTCACGCACGTGTCATGCCACCTGTAAATCATGAGGAAAATTTGCATTCGATAATCAAGTTAACATAAGATTTACAACTAACCAATAGGCATTCATCACACACGGCAGGCCTAAAAAATGCATGATTTAATTTCATCTTACGAATTCGAAATTCTCATTTTTTCTATCCTCATCTGTCAACTTTTAAACTAAGGCGGAAGACACACGCTAATAATTTTCCAATAAATGATATTTGTTTGACCCATTTATTACAACCATTGAATTTCACGCGACATACGTCTAGAATATTACTTCGATCTTGGAGTGTTCATTTCTCTTTTATTTATTTATTTTTTAATATCGACGATTATTAAACTAAATATATGTAATATTAGTTTCAACTTGTTTTGGATCAAGTCATAATATCACAAAGGTATTATATGTGTATCATAATGGGGCATAATATAACGAAATATAGCCGAAACGTCCGCAACTTGTGATTAAAAGGACGCTTCTGGCGAAGGAAGTCTTCAAAAGTTATGCAATAAAATGGCCATTTGACAGGTCTTAGCTGAGCATTAATTCTATTAAAAGGCGGACCAATCAAATCAACGGATTTTTTCTGATAGCGAGGCTAAAAAATATGCATACATTAAGTCCAGGTGCCGCATTACGTCATGCGAGGTTGTTACGTAATCCTCCAGGCGAACTGAGTAGATATGCTGGGTTAAATATAAGCAGGAATGGGTGTAAACATTGGCGTTTAATGTAAAAATAGCGCAAACATCAATAAAACGCATCAACTTTTCGTTCCAGTTTTTCCACCAAACTCTTTCTAGAAGTGTAATAATTCATACCTGAGGTGTCCAGAATAATCTTTCCATCCCTGACGAACGTGCACCCTTCTTTACAAAGTTTACTCCCTCACGTTTTAGTTAATTGAATGCTGTAATGCATCCACAGGCGCCATAATGCCAATTCATCACACGTGTCAATGAGGGCCTCTAGCAGTTCACGGAATTATTGCAGGTACTTGAGGAGATTTTTACATGCAATAATTTCACTGACTGCTGGAGGTCGCTTATGATACATGGCGCAGAGGGTCATTAACCGATGTATCCTTGATGCTGATTGGTTCTCATCATGTCAACGTGTTTGAGTCGTCGAGCCTGATTGGATAATAAAGAGAAACAAATATGACGTCGCCTCTTTGACCAAATATGGATAACAGACTCAAAACTATAAAGCCGCTTTACTTTTCATGTAAACAACTGAAGTTACGATGGATTTTCGGACGAACGGAACAACTTTGGGCAGTTATTCTCCATCAGATAAGCCACAGAGTCGTAAGAATTGACTCTACAGAGAAAAGGAGCCGATTTATGAGGTTAGGGGAGGTAAAAATGCTCGGCAACCGCGTAATATTCTTACGAACAGGGGAGGGGGGCATGTGTAGGGATAGCTTTCAGCACCAAGGACAGGGATAGCTTCAGTTTGAACCTGGCCTTTTCTTCATGACAACAAAGTTAACAAACTGAATATTAACACACCGAATGCAATATACGAAGAAAATCAATTTTGTGAATTTTTCGGTGCGAATCTCAATATCATATGAATGGAAACAGAGCCTCTGCCAGGCGTATAACTATGGCAATCCCAAGCTGTTACGGTGTCACCTTCCACCATGCATCTGCTTGGTTGCCATTCATATGGTAATGAGATCGACACGGAAAAGTTCACTTCTGCAAAGGATGTGACCACTTCTGCAATCGATCAGCTGATCGCAAAACCACGTTTTGACGTATAACTTGAGAATGAAGAACATTTGGACAAAGGCAATAAGTAGAAATAGAAAGGAGACCACGAGGAGTGTACTCTAAAAACAGGGAGGCCAAAAAATGCAAAAAGTTTCATTTTTCTAAAATTGAAAAAGCGGAAATTCATACCCTATCACACCCCCGTTTTGGAGCCCCCGCTCCGGAAAGGTCCGTATCTCGCTAACGAAGCCTCGCTCATTCCCAGATTTTGCCATTTCATGACTTGGGAAACGCGATGGGCTCTTATGGGGGTTTTACTCCAGGTCTTTCCAGCTCTTGTTCTTGACATTGAGGCCTCTCTTGACTACTTAAATATCACAGATATATCAGGGAATAATCGTTTTAGTCAGACATATGCTCATTTTGAGACGAGAATTCCTACAACGGCTAGTACGAGCGTCTGAATATGGAGCTTTTTTTGGCAATATTTCTGCCTGCCATTTCTTTTCTTTCTTTTCTCTCAACATGAACTTATAGGCCATTGACTTGGAATCAGCATTTTTAGAGGTAACGTTACATGTAAGATTCTAAATCTATCATTATGATAAAAACATAATAAAAAGCTTATCTTTATCTTATCTAAATTGAGATGATTGGCCAAGATAAAGTTAAAATCTATGGAGACACCCATATTTGCCATTCAGTTGACACAAGAAAGACCACTGATAAAATAAGTAACCTTGGAATCTTTTGGTTATTATTTAATTAAAAAAAGATGAATATGCAATTGACATATATTGCAGTCTTGTCAGATTGGTGCTGACTGTCCATCACAATTAGCAGTTCAACCAATGAGAGAATACCAATTAGTGATTCAACCAATGAGATCTTTCACTTACATTCCAAAAAGGCCATTTGGTACATTAAGTTTATATGTACATCTGTAAGTTGTAACACAAGGTAAATAAAACTACCTTTTTCCTAACTCTTTTCACTGCTATATCAATAATACCAAGACATGTAAGTTGTAACACAACGCATACAGCTATTAACAATTTGCCAAGTCATCTAATAACTGGCGTCTCAGTGTCTGATGTGGGAATATGAAAAGACAACAAGTAGAGAAACAGATAATGAAAATGCACTCTTCACTCAATACATTAGACATGGGCGTTGTGTAGTGTTCTGTGCAACATGGTGTCATGTCATGTCACAATCAAAAGGAAAAGAAGATTGATATAAATGTAGAAAGAATATGTTCTTCTTCTTAAAGGTAAATAAACTCTACCTTTTCCCTAACTCTTCTTACTGCTATAATACCTGAGGTTTAGCCCTAGTATTGTTACAGACCTGGCCGTCTTACCATTCTTTCAATTGACTCAAATCATCATATACATCATAGTCCCTAACAACAAGGTACTTTCTCCCTAAATATACAATAGTTAACTTCCTGCAAGCATCTGTTGCCATAGCTACACCCGAAGCTTCCAGATGGTTGCCATAGTAATCTCCGTCTGGCCCTGCCCATTGTTGAATTGGAACTCCTGTTCGTCAAGCAGATCCATCCTGGAAAACAACAACAAACATCACTTCAGATATAGCACAGTGTTTATTTCCTCTGCCAAGAGGATTATAATTTGTTTTGCCTTTGACTGAATTGCTGATGAGCTGGATATATATAACTCATTAGTTGATTGACTTCTTGTTGGGTGTAATTTCTTGATCTATGGCAGAAGTGATCAAAATTTGGATTGTGATCCTGATCCATGAATACTTTAAGTAATCATTGCAAGATATAAAGCTGGATTCTTTGTAGAAGGCTGTGATCTCTATTATAACTAGAAAGGCCAATATTTGCTTTGGAGCAAATACAGGGATGGGTTCACCACATTTTACCACATGGCAGGGAAAGAATGAGAAACACAAGGGAAAACAATGATTTACATTGATATAACTATAATATGAAGTAACAACTAAAACAACAGTTGGATAGCTATTCCCTACTTTATTGGTTAGGATTTTTAATTGCATGATGCAAACTGTTGATTTTCAAAATAAAATAAAAAACGTTCATGCCCTGCATTCCAATGCTGGAGCAGGAAAGCTTGAAATACCTACCAAAACACTTGAATAAAGACATACTGTCAGTATGGAAATGCTCTGTGCAGGTGTTAATCAAGTTAAATCCCAACAGCCAATCAGCAAGAAATGCTCTGTGCAGGTGGAAATGCTCTGTGCAGGTGTTAATCAAGTTAAATCCCAACAGCCAATCAGCAAGAAGTATAGAGGAAAGCTGCATGCCTATTGGTTGATGCCCTGCATTCCATTGTGATGACTCATGCCCAGACGTGGTAAACACAGCACACTAACACAGTAATACATTTGCTATAACACAGCCAAAAAACTCAAATAAAACCATTCTAAAAGCCTGCATCACAAAAATTTAAAAAACGCCAGGGATTATTCTAGAAAAATTTAGCATGAGGGAGCAGATCGCAAGCGTGGCAAGGAACAAAGCGACCGAGGGGGGATTTTTTAATAAGAGTAACACAGCTTGTAATGCTAGAAATAGTAGAATGCATTGTTGTATTGTTTTCACATCTCTACTGGAAAAATATAGGGTTCAATTTGAAAATTGGTATGAGGGAGCTGGCTGGTTACATGAGGGAGCAGCTCCCTTATTCCCCTGTTTAGAAAAACCCCTGAACGCCTAGGGGTATTTGCCCACTGTACCTCCATACCAAATTTCAGGACCTTAGGCCCTAAAATGAAGAAGCTGAATCCATTTAAAGATATGGCAGGAGGAGAAGGAGGAGAAGGAGGAGGAGGAAAAGAAACATCAGAAAAAGCAATATGGGTTCACCACCACTTCGTGGTATGGTGAACCCATAATAATAGTCTGTTATCTGCCGTTTTTTACACTTCATTTTGCTTCATTTTTCTACTGCTGACAATTAAAATACATGGAAGTAGACTGAGGATAACTCACTTCTTGTTCAAGTCAGCTGCCAGTTCGTCCTTCCCGACCTTCTGTGAGATCACCACAACGATTCCGTTGTCTGTGACAATCTCCCACAGCCGCAGCCACCAGGCTGGAGGGACAGAACAATATGTCAATCACAAAAAGTCTCATAACATTTCATACATGCTCCTCTCCTCAATAAAGTCCAGTGGCAAATAGCTAGAAAAATTGTGCACTTCTGTCCAAAAGCATGTAGTTATATGTGGATATCTGGACATGGAGGCATTTCAATTTTCTCTTTGTCTTCTAAGGTCAATGACCTGATCCAGATGTCTGTCACCATGGTAACTAGTGTTGGGTTACATCATGTTGCAATCTCATAGCAGGAGGGATTTAGGGACTTCTGTCTTTCCAATTACTAGTATATGTGAATGAGTTTGAGTAAGAATTAACAGAGCAGGCCATATGTGAAGGTAAACATCATGCATTTGTTTTGCAATTGTTACCTTTCTAGTTTGAGTATAGATTTGTTGTTCTAACATAAGCATTGTTGAACTTGACATGACATCTTTTTTTTACCTTTTGGGTTGTTGACCCTGTCCAGGAAGTCCAGTAGGACCAGGTTGGCTTTGGGGATCTCATTGGGCACCCAGGTCATCTGGACATGGAACAACATGGGCTGCAGTTAGTGTCAGAGATAGTGCAGTCAGTACCAAGGACAATGTTGCTAATTCAGTGCCAAGGGCAGTGTAGTCTGTACTATGGTCAGTGTAGTAAGTCTGCTCTGCACCATGGATGGTGTAGTCAGTACCAAGGACAGTTCAGTACCAAGGACAGTTTAGTTAAATCATTACCATGGATGGTGTAGTCAGTACCATGGACAGATCAGTACCATGGACAGTGTAGTTAAATCATTACCATGGATGGTGTAGTCAGTACCATGGACAGTGTAGTTAAATAATTACCATGGATGGTGTAGTCAGTACCATGGACAGTGTAGTTAAATCATTACCATGGATGGTGTAGTCAGTACCAAGGACAGTGTAGCTGAGTCAATACCATAGTCAACTGTCAAACTGAAAGACCTCCTGACCTGTTTGAAGGTCAGCCTGTTCCTCTGCATGTCTGCTGGAATGCTGACAGTGATGACATCTTTTGTCATTGACTTTTCCGTCTTTGTGACTGCCCTCGGCAAGTGGAACTCCCTGTTCTTCTGCAGCGTGATGGCTGCATCCAGGAATCGAGCGCAGTAGTCAAGGCCAATCACCTGTATCAACATAATGTAAGATTCTTACTAGGTAACATCTTGTAGAGAAAGTCTCAATGATTCTAGCTTCAAGCAAGCAGCTGTGGGAACCTTGACAGGTTGTCAGGGTATGAGCTTCCTAGCAGAGATAGACCAGCTCACAACTCAGCCAGTGCAGAAATCCATCTTCCCAGCCTTAGGGATGTCCATTCCATAACTTGCTGTAGTGCAACATGTTAGAATCAACTTAGGAAGTTGTTTCATTAATTTTGTTACCATTTCTAAACAACAAAATGTAGACCAACCTCCTTGTAAGTTCTGGCCAGCTGGTACACCACTCCTCCAGTCCCACATCCCAACTGCACGACGTTCTGGAGCGGACAGCCGTAAAGGTTCGCCTTCTCCACACAGAAGTCTGCCAGGTCCTTGGAGTAGTTCTGGCCACTGTTCCCATACTGCAGGGCCAACATGGCCGCCAGTTGTTCTTCTGTTTCCTGGTGGAACTGTTTGTTGGTGCTCGCCATTGGGACAACCTCCAGACCAACTGTTTCTGGTACAGTCAGTTGTTTCTCTAGTGGAACCATAACAGTATGTCAGGCAGAATAAATATCAAAGAAACATTATTCTTTTAGTGGAAGTGAACAAAACAATACAGATGGATAGGTTACTAGTATAATCATTACATACTTTTCAGACAATTGCTTTACAGTCCACATATGAGAGCTTTATTCCCCTGTAGCAAAAATCAGCAGGCCATTAATATCAAGGCCTGCTCACTGTGAGTTTCCAGCAGCCAAAAGGAATGTATCAAATAATGATCCAGATTTCTGCAAACAAGTAACGTTACATGTAGTTCCCTAAGGAATTCTGTTACCAAAAAATTCCCTCCCTTATGGTAGGATGCTCTTAATATAATGATATAAGTACCAAAGATAAGCATACAAAGGACTCTAGAAAACATGACTGTCCCATCTTACCTTCCACCCCCGCTCCTAAAATGTATACATCCGTGTTCACCATGACAACTGGGGACTTCCCGGCGCCGGGCAGGGTTCGCGCCACGCGGAAACCAGCGTGTTGGTAGAAGTGGCGACGGAAGTACGAGCGAGAGAAGCGGGAGTTGTAAGTACCATCAGAGGCCCAGGAACCACCCTGAAGTAAAACAAAACAAAATCATTCGATATTTGCCTTTCGTAATGAGACTATTGTCCCAACTGATGTTAAACCTTTAAAAATTTATCGTGTGATACGGTGATGAAGAAGTATAATTACCAACATGAGCCCGTGGCGTCCATCCATGAAGGGAAAAGCGTAGTCGTCATACAGGTGGTGCTGCTTGTATCCAGGCAGGCCGTTAAAGTGGTCCTCCACCCACTCCCACACATTCCCGTACACGTCATGGAATCCAAGGTCGTTTGCTGGGTAGAGGTCGACGGGCTGTCAGATGATGAAGATAAAGAAGAAAAAAAAGTAGAACTGTTAGTAAGAATTATGTATTTCCATTTGTACAAGGGGAAAGAAGAGTCTGTCTGTTTCGATGGTTTGAATGGAGTTTGAGAATATTACCGATGATGACCCAAAGGTCAGCCTAAAGTTGGCCTGTGGATCCTTGTGGAACACAGGGTCAGAGGTCACACCCTTGCTGGGGGCGCCCAGTGCCCCGCCCTGGATCATGTTGAACTCTGCCTCCGTCAGCATGCGGAACTCCGAACCTTTCCAGGCGCAGAAGGCGCGAGCTTCGTGGTAGTTCACCACCGCCGGCCAGTCCCAGGGCATCTCTATCACATCAAACATCACACGCAGTCTGGGGAAACCACCAGGAGAAAAGGTCGATATGTTAGACTAAGTATAATTTTAGTTGTGTTTCAGAGGAGCAAACTATTAGTTGCTTGTGGTAACTCTTATCACGGGTCTGTTATTTTCAAACATTGTTACCTGAAATCTGGTAGACATCCATCTCCATTTTGTGGTCCGTTTCTTGTCCCATTCAGGTCCCCATGTTGAGGACCATTGCTGTTCTGCCTGATTTCTTTGTCACTGTAGGTAGTGGTGAAGTACTCGGGCAGGCAGTGGGAATGGGAAGAAAGGGCAGCCCCACAGCCAGACTTGCATCCTGAAATAGTACAATCATGTGTTGGAAGATCATATCTGCTTTTGATCTGAAGTAGAAAAATGGGAAAAAGGCCATACTTGAACTTCTTCTGAAAGTATCCCTAGGAACAGCATTCTAGGCCCATATCAAAAAATATTCTGGTATGGGCCTAGAATTTGAGAAGATGCAGTTTTTTCTTTGTTGAATGGATCACGTTCAGCTCTATAATTAAACCTGTGCAATCTTCTACTTTTTATACTCATGATAAAAGAGCTCTTGGCCCTTTTGCACCTTAAGTATATCTAGTGGTTCATATTATATATGTACAAATGTATATTGATAACACGGATGGTTGATGGACAGAGAAACTCCCACCTTTGGTGCAAACCCAGAAGACTGGATGTCGCAGCTGACGAAAACTTTGCCAGGTCCAGCCTGAGTACAATGAGAGATGTGATTTCTTGTGTATTTGCTACATTTTCTATATAATATATCCCCTTAGCTTAACTACGGCATTTTACAGCATTTCATCATCATCATATTACACAATTTGTAGTCACATGTCACTGGATAACAACTCTCTCCCCAGCACATCGGCAGAACGTACTGCGCCTGCGCAGAACCCCCGCCCCGTATTTTCGCGTTTTTCGTTGGGTTTTTGGTCAACGTTGCATCAGAATTTTTCCTATTGCAGAGGATATTCTTTCCGACACAACATTTGGAAACTACTGTCGAAATGCTAACCTTATATGAGCAAATACAACCTTATATGAGACGTTCTGCCGAAATGCTATGTACAATACATTACAGGTTTCGCGCAGGGGCAGTACGTTCTGCCGACGTGCTTCTCTCCCAAAACAGTGATTAGCAGCTACCTAATTGAATTTAAATGTAATATTTTCATTAGGCTTTGCTGAGCCTAACCCTGTAGGTACAAGGTACAACATATTTGTACATGGGGTACCAGACAACAAAAGAGGGGAGACTTCTGTTGCTGACCTACATTCTAAGAGCATGTAAGAGAGTTTGTTGACAATCAGGTGGATCAACTTAGCTATATGTAGTGTTATTTGACCTCTTCACAGTGACCCACCTTCCTTTGTCCAATAGGATGAGTTCTCGTACCCTCCTGCCTTCACAAACTGCAGGATCTCACGGTTGGTCACCTTGAACTTGGAGGCCTCAAATGTTGGGACCCTGGAAAAGGTATTCACTTGTAAAGTCAACTCACTGAATTATTCTTTGTTAAAAATGGTACTACTGTAGTGCAATTCAACATGAATGGTGTGAAAAGGAAGAGGAAATGAAGGTTGACATGTTCAGTACCAAGGACAGGGATGTAGGTTATCTTAGTCATGCAGTAACCACTATACTAGTACTAAGGACAGGGAACATCAGACACTTTTCTTCATGATTTCACATGGATCACTTTTAGAATTGAGATTAGACACTGAGAATTTGATCTAGATCATATTTTAACCTCAATGCTACTAGTCAATTGTAATGTTACAAATCATAAAGGCACAAAATTTAATCAACATCCTAGGAAACACAATTATATGTTTCCTACTACATAAAACTGTACATGTAACATTATACTTACTTGAAAGTTCTCTGTCCATACTCCATACACCAACCATAAGAGGGAAAATCCCTTGGTTTTCCTATAGTCACCTCACCCCCCTCCATTTGAATGAGGGGGTTCTCCTGAATTGTAGTGTCTGGCAGTAGTGGGGAGGGGGGTACAGAAAATCAAATCATAGACACAGGTCTAATAGAATCAGGTTTACATTATGATAAAATCATCACATTTTATAAACCTTTTTTTGCCCTGAAATGTGCATTCCCAGCTTAGAATTTTCATATCTGAAGCTCTATCAGTTGTTTGTACAAAAAATCACACTAGTGAAAAAATGAGTCCAATGCTTGAGAGATTTGGGTAATTACCACAGCTGCACTAAACCAGACGATCTGAAGAATAACTAGAAAGGTAACATTTTCAAAGCAAATGCATAATGTTAACTTTCGCATATGGTCTGCTCTGTTAATTCTTACTCAAAGTCAAAAACATTCATGATGTGACTCAACACTAGTTACTATGGTGATAGACATCTGGTTCAGGTCATTGATCATATTTCTTTGAAGAAGAAGAGGAAGAAACTGAGCAAAAACAATGTTTTCCTTTGGAAAACATAATTATTGTATAACGTAATAAGCAATATTTTTCAGGGTCATGTAGAGGTTACCTGTGCTAGCTGGAGCGTACTTCCACTTGGGCGGGGTGGTTACCATGGTGATGGGCATCTGCCTGATGAGCACAGAGGACGTCTCAATGTGAATCTTCTCATGCTCCACTCCCATCATCACAGCCCACTGGGGAAAGGGCAGCTCAGTTAGACTTCAAGGACTCAAAACCAGTCAATGACTGCCCCTGGCAGATTTACTGACGTGTGTAACTCTGATTTCTGACAGTTCCTGACCTGGACCCGTACAATGAGTCTAAAGTCGATACTTTGCTGAAGGATGGCTGTCCCCTGTTTCCTTCCACCCAATCTGACCAGATAGCCGATTCTGGTATCTGAGAGCAGAATGCAGACCATCACAGTGATCATTTGCCAGGAGGAACATCACAAGCAAACTGAGCCATGTTCAAATTCCAGGTTCAAGAAAGGTGTTCTATTCGAAATGTCCCCCCTGTGATGTAGCTATATAGATAGATGATAGATGCAGTTCTTGCAATCCCTGAAATGTAAACAGGTCTATTAACAACAATTTAGTCATGACCTCTGACCTACCCACGGGCTGTCCTGTGTGATTGGCAGCTGGAGGGGCGTGTCCTCGATCAGCTGACGGACACGGTTGCGGACCAGGCGGCGAAACTCCACAGCCTCTGCCAATGGGGGCCACTGGAAACTGCCACCCATGCGGTAGTTCTCCTGCAATATACAAAGATTGGATTAGATTGTTAGATTGGATAGAAACCATTACCATAAGGTTAGCAGCATAACCCTGGATAACATGGTTTAAATTAAAGTTTATATTGCTAACCCTGATTTGTTTGTCTCCGACATTTGATTAATGAATGAAAGAAGACCTTTATTTTACTTAGTAATACATAACCAACTGACATATAATATTAAAGGAATATAGCTTGCATATACATGTAAGCATACACATGATCAAGATAGACTTATTATGCACTTATAGTAATATATTAGTCTATCAAGGAGGTTAAAATCATTGAACTTGACTTCTCCTTGCTTCTCTATGATGGTGAAAAGGTAAAAACAGACATGTTTTAGGATCAAAGATTGTTTAATAAACTCATTTGAAGTGTGAATTTGTCTGTATTACTTAGGTGTATGAAGTACTAAGGGAAACAATGATGGTATCTTTCTATAAAGTTTTAACACTCCCAATGGACCAATCAATCCTATTAATTGACCAATTAAACAAAGGATTAACATCTCATAACATTGATGCTATCAGTCTGTAAAGTTCTGACACTCCCATTAATAGACCCAATGGACCAATTAATCCCATTAATGGACCAATTAAACAGAGGATGAATTCTCACCGTGTCGTCCCAGGACATCTCATCTACCCCGAGCTCGAACATGGTCTCGAAGTGCAGGTTGACCCTCTGTGTCATCAGCCCTGCCAGCATCAGTTTGTTCACGTACACGGTGGCCGTGTGGGCGTAGTAGAAGATTAGAGGCAGCCGCAGCCGGTCTGGACACTTGTAGAAAGCCTCCTCGTCTGGAACAAGAAGTTTATAATAGGCCCGAAATGCATCTTGATCCACTTTTGTATGCTGTTTACCGTGTTACCAAGTTGAACACATGTACACTGTACGAAAAGGCCATAGATTTCACAATGGTGAGAAATGCCAGTTCAGCCCGATAACCCTTGCTTTTGGCATTTGATGCTTTAGGCAAAGACTTACCTGGCATCTACATGCATGGCTATTATTTTAGGCAGATATTACATGTCATATCAAACATGCTATAGATGCATTCCCAAACGTACAATATAACTTCTATTGTACGTTTGGGAATGCATCTATAGCAGCGACACCTGTCCTGCAGTGCAATGCGAACCAGTCAGAATTGCCCTGAGGAAGGTGACAGACAGTCACCGAAACGTCGGCTGAATAAAAGACTTGGTTGTGTAAAAAGAGTCTCTTTATTCAAGGCTTGATTTACCCAAAGATCATGGGACAATACTGTCGCCGTTTATCGCCTAAAGCAACCATTACGAGACTCAACTGGCAGCATTATCATCGTCATTATGTAAATCCCATGGCCACTTTTTCTGCAGTGTTGCGTGGTCAATTATAAGGATATATTATTTGTAACATCTGGAAAATTAAACTTAGATGCTAAAAATCACGTTCATTTCAAGAGAGTGGCAAGAAAAGGTAATGAAATCTGGTTTGAATACTTGGCAAAGACCGAAGTATTTATTTCAAAACTCACCTTTCAGACCGACGAACAGGCTTTCATTCAAATCATAGCTGGCTTCAAAATACTTGAGGATGTCGCTGGAGAGGCCAGAGAAACTTTGATGACATGCTACAAGTTACGAAACAAGTAACAGCTACGCATGCAACTTAGAATGTTAGTCATGTCAAGTGATTTAACGTTAGTACATAGCCTCTACCGGGCTTCGGGTTCGGGAGGCAGCTGGAAAGAGTAGAAATCGGCCAAATAGACAATAGAGGGGAGTTTCGGGTGCGGCAAAATGTTTTCACCCCGCAGACAAACTCTCCTGGCATGTTATCTCTCTATATTTGGCCGATTTCTACGCCTCCTGAAGGGTGGTAGAGGCTAGTTAGTACATAGCCTCACTAAATTTCCTCAAAAACTTCCAGTGCCCCAGAAGACTGACAACGGGCCCAGAAAAGCAGCGAAATATTGTAAGAGCTAATACTAGTAGTTAGAAAAGATGGTGATATATAGAATATTAAGGCTAAGTTAGTGTTTTTGATTGTATATAGCCTTTGATAAAGTCGTATTTTTAGGGCTTCGACTTACCCTTTACTACAAGAGGACAGGTCCAGAGGGGCCATGCCTGTGGTGCGGTACTTTCCAGTCAGCACGTGGGTCGTCGCCATCATCGCCAACAAACGTTTCCCCTCAACTTAAAAACTCCTGGACACGTCTGGGTCTAAAGATGACGAAATAACAATTTCTTTATGGAGCAACCGTTCGGGACATACATCGATGAGTAGAAAAAAATCGCCTTTGGGGAGATTTTAGAATTCGTCCCTGACCTTTGAAAAAGCGACTGGACCACAAGAGATGTCTAAAATGCAACGACACAAAAGATGTAACGTTAACCGTAGGCACACTGGTTTTGAAATTAGGCGACGCGGTTAAACCGGTTTTCATAATTAAGGCCACACCAATTTAATTTGTTGTTTCTTGGATTTTTTCCAGAAAAAAAATATGAATATGAAGCGACAGGGCAGGCCAAGGCACCCCATGATTGCCGGAAACAATATGAGCCATGAGAGTAAACATACCATATCATTAAAACAATAGAATCTATTTTGAACTTTTAATGAAACAAAATTTCATTGTTACATTGAAAAACTGTAAGAAAAACTTTTAGGAAGAGGAAAGAAAAGGACTTTCTTCAATCGTTGGGGCCAAAATCTGTGATATTGTCTTTCATTGAGCATTTTGCAGTTGATTTGGAACCAAATAATGTTTTTTTTTTTTTTGCAAATCAGAAAAAAATGTGCAAGGCGAATCTGAGAAACAACAAATTAAATTGGTGTGGCCTAATGTTTGAGCATTTCTTACGGGTCAACAAATCGGGTTAAACCAAGTTCCACAAACAGCTGCAGCTAGCTGTAATTTCTGCCCACTGTCTGGAAGAAATCACTACCTGATCACATACTCCACATGCTGATATCTTGGACGATGTTTAATGGGAAAGGTTCTTGACATGATCATTTATGAAGATTAATGACTCCCTGGTATATCTTCAATTGAAGACAGACAGACTGACACAGAAGAAATCTACACGTGGAATGATTCTATATTCACCTGATCGCCGGGAAACTTGTTAAGGAAAACAACGAAAATCTTTGGCATAAACTACGACTGGTACATATCTAACCTGTTGTTGTACATGGTGATTTTTATGACAATAACAACTCCGACCTACTGGAACGTTCTACCTTGGACCTACATGTAGCTATCATTCAACATCCCATACATGCGTTAGTGTACACATAAATGCAAAGTTAACATAGCGTCCTCCGCACCTGGACTCTCGTCTCACATCTAAGATAAATATTACTACGAAGATGCGTCATAAATCTGATACTGTAGTAACTCAAAATAAAGGCTTTTCAATACCTCCAGACATACCATTTTGGCAAGCCGTAGCGAGCGAGATTTGAAAATTTGAGCACGTCTTTAAGCACTACAGAACTTAAGCAAGAACATAGCAACATGCCACGCATACGTTTACCTGATATCGTCTGTTTCCGGGTGAAGATTATGACAGGATCACTCAGGTAAGTCACTGCAGCATATCATAAGGCCTTACAGTAGCAGTACTATTGTTCCTGACCTGATTCTGATGATTGATGAATACTAGCTATATGTCAAACAGGTCAGACTAGTCCCAGTAAGGGGCAGTCACATACTTACAAACATGTAAACGTGGTTTGGAGGACACGCCCACTGTTTTGATATCCAAGCAGATGTTGGGGGTAGGAAATCGCTTTTCTGGTAGTAGCCCATCGAAAAATACTACCACTTCCCATGTATTACTAAGTTGTTTCAATCATTCTCCTCAGTCATTCATCCGCCCATTCATTCAATAAAATACTCAACTATTTTGTGGGTATAAAAACAGAATTAGGTACTATATTTCACTGAAGGAAATCACTTGTTGTACCTAGGGACATTTCACACATTTTGTAAAAAATGTGCTCTTTTACAAATTAAGCAAAACTTTAATACCATTAAGTCTGATTACATTGTAACCAAGGCTTGGCTATAGACATACACCTGGTATGTGGACATTACTGGCCAAGTAAACTAAAACTGAACCACAAATTTAACAAAACCTAACTTTAACAAGGGCCAGAAAGGATTGAGGTAAGTGTTAAAAAAGGAGGGAAGAATTATCAAAGCTGTACATATAAAGTAAAAGAGATAAAAGAGACAGAGGAAGTATTGGCATAGAAATTTAAAAAAAAAATCAGCACTAGTATCTTTAACTCTCCCAAACCCTTGCTGGCCAGACACTACAATAACAGATAGTTCACACAAATGAAGGAAATCTTTTCCAAAAAATAATTGTATCCATCCAAGTCACACCTAATCTTCAAAATGTTCTAATGCTTACTACAAGGATATTCAAGTAAAATCAGCCCCTTCACTTTTGCTCTAGACATTCTATATAAAAAGTGATAATTTAAGTTAGAATACTGTCTATCTAGGGTTGCACACACAAGGAGTTGTCAATGTTGAACACAAAGACATCATTGCACTCAGATCTAGTTGCCGGTAAAAGCACTCTCATTCTCATAGATTTTTGTATGATCATTACTGATTTTATGTATCAAGGATTTGCCTCAAATTGTTACAAGATAAACAGGTTACAAATGATCAGCACACCAACATCTTACATCATACATGGCCATACATCTGGCTGAGGTCAGGGGTTTAAACAAATAATGCTTAGCATTATGATAACAGATTGTCAATCCTGCAAAACTGCACTTGAAATGAAAAGACTTCAAATACTGTAGAATTCTTCAATTTTGTACAGCAAGATTTTAGAGTGGTTAGAAGGGGTAGCGAGTAAAATGGTTAAACTTCACCACAATGGAACATGTATTAATGAATGAATGAATGAAAGTTGTTTTTTATGTATGTATCTGTATCTACATATAGACTGGACATGTATTTCAGCACATAATCTGAAAATTCATCAAGAAAATAAAACACCACATTTTCCAATTTTACAAAGGAGGAATGTAGAGAAGAAAGTTTTCATCTGTAGGTGATATTGCCAAGGTCTGTCTTGTTTTCCTATGCTAAAGAACTGCTCAAACAAATCTTCCTAGTTCTATGGTTTCACCTGACAGTCATAGTTTTAAAGTTGTAAAAGGTATGAGAAGTACGGATCATCTGTACCATACATAATAGTTATAAATACTAGAATTTTTTTCAAAGGTTCCCTGGAGTAGCCTTTTTATAATGCACAACAGAAATATTGACACCTCAATCTTACAGATATAATTGTCTAGTTACATGTAAAATCTTATCTATCAGCTTGATGATTGGCAAGCCACTTGCTGGAAGTCATCTGTTGCTATAGTTACAGCTTGAGCTTCCATATGGTTGCCATAGTTACAGCTTGAGCTTCCAGATGGTTGCCATAGCAACCTTGGACTGACCCTGAGAGTCCTGGAACTGGTACTCCTGTTCCTCCAGCAGATCAAACCTGAAGCAAACAACAGAAAAAACAGTTTCAGTTTACCTCTGTGTCCTTCTTTATTCCATGCTACCATTTTGGGCCATTTTAACCTTCTATGGTTACCTGTTCATACATGTACATACATGTATGTCAGGTTAGAGACTCCAAACTAGTAGGATCGCAGACCCTACCGCAGAGATCCCGACTGGAATTTAAATTCTAAGATGTTCATTTTAAAAGACAGTCTGAATTTTTTTTGAACTTTGATTCCTGTCACTAAAGACACTTAGGATTTGTAAATGGGAAACCACCCTAACACATTACAGACATCCTGATCAGAGTCTCTGTCAACACAGACCTCTACCAGTAGAGTCAGTGCCGATTCTACAAGATTGGACCCTGACTCAAACATCATGTGGTACCGTGACACTCAGATACAAGTCAGATATCAATAACTCACTTCTTGCCCAAGTCGGCTGACAGTTTGTCCTTCCCGACCTTCTGTGAGATCACCACGACGATTCCGTTGTCGGTGACGATCTCCCACAGCCGCAGCCACCAGGCTGGAGGGACAGAACAATATGTCAACATCGCTGCATCACCTGATGCTCACTTCTACTCTAGAACATTTTTATCCAGGCAAAAGCTAATGTAAGGCCTAGGAAAAAAAGTATGTCCTTTTTCTATGAAATTCATTGCATGATCTGTCAAGTATTCCATCACTCAGCAGTTGCAGTGAAAAGTTGGCATTGTCAAGGTTGCTGAAAATACACAGGACTAGTGCAGCAGTGCTGAGGGTTACCTTTAGGGTTGGTGACTCTGTCCAGGAAGTCCATCAGGATCAGGTCAGCTTTTGGGATCTCATTGGGCACCCAGGTCATCTGGACATGGAACAAAATTAACAACTGTAAAGATCTCAGGAGATATAATAACACAGAAAAAGGTTGACTGTGTTTTATATGTTTACATGCATCTCTGAATGGTGTATGCCTGTATGTAGTGTGCATGTATGCGTGTGTATTTGTATGTGTATGTGTGAATGACCTTCAGACCTGTTTGAAGGTCAGCCTGTCCTTCTGCACGTCTGCTGGAATGCTGACAGTGGTGGTCCCGTTCTCCGTACGCGGCTTCTTTGCCTTGTTCGGTGTTGGCCAATGAAACTCCCCCGTCTTCTGCAGTGTAATGGCAGCATCCAGACATCGGCCACAGTAGTCAACACCAATCACCTGCATCAAAATGATTACAATAATAAGCAAAACCCTCTCCTCTGTACAGTGTATAGTAATGGAAATATGGTTGATGTAAAAAATAACTAAATCCCTCCTGCTGTAAAACTGCAACATGATGTAACCCAACACTAGTTACCATGGTGGTAGACTGTCTGGTTCAGGTCATTGACCTTTGGTGTTTGGAAAAGAGGAAACGGAGCAAAAACAATATGTTTTCCTTCAGTAAACATAATTAGACCCCAAGCATACAAATTCTCATTTTGGACTGGCCTAGCTATCTCAGCATATCAAAAACTACACAATTTTCAGGAAGATCTGAGTCTCTCAAACAGAATTTGCCACTAAAACTGGCCTTGAAAGTCTGAATGTGTCCATACAAACCTCCTTGTAAGTTCTGGCCAGCTGGTACACCACTCCTCCAGTCCCACATCCCAACTGCACGACGTTCTGGAGCGGACAGCCGTAAAGGTTCGCCTTCTCCACACAGAAGTCTGCCAGGTCCTTGGAGTAGTTCTGGCCACTGTTTCCATACTGCAGGGCCAACATGGCCGCTAGTTGTTCTTCTGTTTCCTGATGGAACTGTTTGTTGGTGCTTGACATTGGGACAACCTCCAGACCAACTGTTTCTGGTACAGTCAGGTCATTTTCTGGTCACCATAGGAAAAGATGGATATAATTAGGATTTCTGCAATTTGTAGGGGTTAGAACTTTCAGGTAAGCATTTTCTTTTGGTGACACTGGAACAAATTTAAAACAGTTATAAGTTATTCTGTAAAGGAGCATCCACATCAATTGCTGGGTCCAAAGATTGAACACTTGTATCATTCCAAAGATGAGAACACAATACATTTTTCTGAAAATTTCCAAAAAGAAGTGGTTTTTGGGAAAACAATCCTGTAAGAATAATTTTTGATTACGTTACAAGTGACCCCAATGATGTGGAAACTCTGTTGAAAAACTGAAACTGGAGCAGAAAAACTGGAAATAAATGACAAACTTCCACAGAATAAGGTGTTTCCCCATTCCTGCCACATAAAAAACAGTTGCTCGAAATAAGGACAGTTGCTTGTCCTGGAGCAGTTAGAAAACCCTATTCTTGACAGTACTCCAAATTAACATGTAAGTTACGCAATGATCAATGAATGCTGGACATAAAGGAATGTAGGAACCGATGCAGCTACGCTTGTTGGTTAGCATGAGGAAGGCAGAGAATAATATTAAAAGCGGACAAATGCGCAGACATGTAGTTTCAGCACAGCTTTCTCAACTTTGCAAAAAGCACTGGTCATTTAACATGCTCTAGAACTCGAGGAAAGTATATTATGACAGTGATCTGCACATACAACACACATGGATGGAGACTGGTTCTAGATGAGAAGTCATGGTCAAATTCTATCATTCTGTTAGCAGAAGGACCAATTCATCCATTTTCATTTTGAAAGAAATAAACAGATCTAAACTAGGTGATACTAGTAGATACCCACTGACAGATGCTGAAATGATGACATACAAATTGATATACTCATGACTTTTGATTGTACACGTTGGAACAGAGACAGGACACAGAAAAGAGATAAATGCTTTGATTTTATAACAAGGCAAATTGTCCTCACAGAGACCTCAAAACAAAACTGACTACTGAGAGTCCGAGACCAACAGTAATCTCTTAAAAGTAAGGACTGCTATTGAGCTGAACATATTTGAGCAATAATGATGCTGGCTTCTGCTGAAATTGTGGAATGCAAAAAAATTGCACCAAGACACTTCAGCAAGGCACTTGTCACTTTAAATACTTTTTCTGACCTCCATGTAGTACAATCAAAGTTATCATATTTTTCTGTGATAACTTTCAAGTTATAACCATCAACACTTTTTTGAACTATGTTAGGAGCCAACACTTCAGATACACTTTCAGAACAACTTCAACAAGGCAGTGTAAATGAGGCCACAGCAAGTAATTTCTATGGATGACAGCAGTGCACACATTGATTTTCGTCTGATTAAAATGGGTTATACAGTATGTCATAAACATTTATCAGTTTTGTCTTAAAATGCCCAAAATGCCTATTTTTCAAAGTTGTTTCAGTGACTTGAGGCACGATTGCTTGCCTTTGATGGCAAGTGTTGACAGTCTAAGGTGTTCTATAGCATATAAATATTCAGCAGTGTAGTAAGCTGCCCATGATAGTATTACAAGCTGCTTTCTTTTACAATTGTTCTAGTAAATGTATACACATTTAGAATGGCAGGTAATACTGTTGAATACAGGAATAAAAACCATGTTGGTTATGAGATCATGTTTTTTCACCTCAATTGTTGTTACAGAGTATCTCAAAATTTGAAAATTTAGTCCTCTATTTTTTGCCTGCCTTCTTTTTTTTCCCTATGGCATCAAATTTGGAGTCTAGTAGATGTCATCCATGATGTTTACTAGCTGTGGCCTGAAGCATCATAGAATGAGTCAAACATTGCTGACTGTCACAACAAAACAGTCATTTTCGGGACGGCTCCATTTTTCCCGCAGGGGTGAGTAGGTTACGCCGAGGACAACCTCAGTGTGTCATCGACGTTTACATGCCCTACGACTCGCACCGTTTTCCAGCAACCAAATATGATGATATCTAGAAATACCTGCACAGGAGATTTTGATCGGGATGAGTTTGATCGGGATGAGATTTGATCGGGATGTAAAATTAGGATCCTTTGGGGGAATTCCTCGCAAGTCTGGAACAGGCCACGTCACGCGATCGGCACACAACCTGTTGGGTACAAACTGGACAGACAGCAGAGAGGTGTTTAGTGAACCCAAGGTCAAGCCCCTGCATAACTACGGACCAAAATGTCACAGATGAGCAGACATGTGTGTTAAGGAAATACAGTCAAACCTGTTTGTAATGGCCCTCAAGGAAACTAAAAAACTTCAGGAAAAATCTCTATCAAGCAAGTACTAGTATCAAAACAAGAAGTTGGAATTGGGTATTTGGGCAAGTCCGTGTTCTTGCATTGGAAATGTCAGTTGAAACTTGCTTCATAGTGACTTCTATCAACACAAATGAACTTAAAGGAAAAATCTTGTTACTGCAAACCCTACAATGGCCTTGTGGCCCTATAACAAGTTTGACTGTAAAAGAAAAATAGAAAACAGGTATTTATTGACATAACTGACAATGTTGGAAGTACAATCATGTACTTCAAGTGCTTTTTTTTGTAAAGAAAAGTCAACAAGCCATCTTGTGATTGGGACTGATATTCATAATTGCAAATACAAAGTCATGATTACCGGTAATGTTGTTAGCTTTTTCTACACATAATAAAAAGGTGTTTGCCCATAAATAATGGTAGCTCATGTCAGCAGTTTGTTTGAGCCTTTGTTTATTTGTTAATTGTGAGCCATAGAAAAGCTGCATTGCACTGTTTGAAAGTCTTTTAATGCCAATAGAAGAAGCATCATCATCATCGGTTCATCTCAAAAGTGGAAAGAGGTGAGGATGACTGTTTTACCCTTAAAATGTATGTCAGTTGCCATTTTCTTTTCATTGAAGATTGTAAAATGAGGAACCAGAAAGGCCACAAACAGTTTCTTGGTGTTTCTTTTTGATTTTCTGTAAATGGTACATTTTCCTTCTTTTTAAGGTCTCCTGTGTGTGACTTTTTTTACAGTGATGACTTGTTTTGTTTTTACAGTGATGGCCTTCTTTTCTAATGACTTTTTTCTCATTTACAGTCAGATACTTTAATTTCAGTCCCACCAAGACTTTCCTGTCCAATTTTTCAGAAGTGTTTGTTTTAAAATCTTGGATTTTAAATTTCAGATAATTCATACTGTAACAACAGATATCACAGCACATGTTGCCTCTTTATAACAAACATCATAATGAATGACATACAAAGCTGGGACATGGAGGCATGCACTTAAGTTTGACTAGACCATAAAAGACTGGGAAGAGAAAAATAAAAAAGAGGAGTAGAAAAACATTCAAGATGTTCATCTATCCAACAACTTGTAAGTCAACATTGTCTTCGCTTCTCCCAGTTTTGCTTTTGTTACAAAAAGTAGCACTGATGTTAAAAAGGGACAAAACATTCATTTCTTCAATACATTGCAATGTCAATAAAAAGTAATGCTATAGTGCATAGGAAGGGAGGATCCTGGAAATTGGAAGCTATATAAAAATGACAGAAAAGGAAAAGGAGAAGAATGTAGATGAGCTGTGCATTCTGTCTTCTCAGTCTGTCTTCAGCCTGTAGTGGATAACATGGGGAGTTAGTGTGCTAGGGGAAAGAGGAAATGGGTGATCTCACAACTCAATGTGCCATTTCCAACATTTCAGGGATTTTCATTCCAGAAATAATTGTGCCAAGGAGTCTGCATATGCAATCCTTGAAAAAGGTGACATAGGAGATACATTTTTTGTGTGTACCAGTTTCCATTTCAACTTTTTTTTTCATTTTCCTTGAATTCATTTTCAAAAGACCAGAAACTTCCACAGGATAAAACTTTGTGCTGCACTGTTATAAAATAACAATTTACAACAACAACAAAAAACAACAGTTACTGAGCTTCCTTTTATTTTCAATATGATTAGGGTGTTTTTTTTCTACTGAAATGGCAAAAAGATGTGAAACCATTGTGTGTAGGGTCCTTAACAGGAACGAGTTGAACTTCACAAACATGTCGTTTATCTCACCTTCCACCCCCGCTCCTAAAATGTACACATCCGTGTTCACCATGACAACTGGGGACTTCCCGGCACCAGGCAGGGTTCGTGCCACGCGGAAGCCAGCGTGTTGGTAGAAGTGGCGACGGAAGCCCATGCGGGAAAAGCGGGAGTTGTAAGTACCATCAGAGGCCCAGGAACCACCCTGCAACACGTGATAGAACACAAATCTTTCGAGATCCTCTCTAAAAGACTGTGGCAGCAAGACTTCTAATAGAAGTGTCTGTAAGAGTCAATGAAGTGGTGAAAAAACTTTTGCTGGTGAATTCAATTTTGATGTAGAGAACCAAATGGTAGAAATCTCACTTGATTACCATCCAGTATAACATCTGTCAAAAAAGAAAGACTATCCTGTCAGTAATAACTTAACAAGAATATTTACCAACATGAGCCCATGGCGGGCATCAAAGCATGGAGATGCATAGTCGTCATACAGGTGGTGCTGCTTGTATCCAGGCAGGCCGTTAAAGTGGTCCTCCACCCACTCCCACACATTCCCGTACACATCATGGAATCCAAGGTCGTTTGGTGGGTAGAGGTCGACGGGCTAAGAAGGTAAGACAGCAGGTGAGATAATGGGAACAATCTTAAACTACTTTCAGTCTGACTATTTTTCTTCTAATATTGTCTACATTTGTCAAGAACTCAACCTATTGTTAAGTTTGTTGAAAATAAAGAGAATAAAAGAATAATAAGTTCATCCCTCTTTTGATTATTACATGTAAACATGTTAACTATGACATTACCCTATCTCTGCATAAACAGTACAAAAAACTGTTAGAAATGTAATTTCCCTAGATGGACATCGTATCATCGTAATGTCTTCTATAGGAAGCCCTGTTGTTCTCCACTGTTAGTAAGGATATGTATTTCCATGGGAAAGAACAATTACATAAGATTCTGTCCAGCATTCTGATGGTGTGAATGGAGTTTGAGAATATTACCGATGAAGACCCAAAGGTCAGTCTAAAGTTGGCCTGTGGATCCTTGTGGAACACAGGGTCAGAGGTCACACCCTTGCTGGGGTCGCCCAGTGCCCCGCCCTGGATCATGTTGAACTCTGCCTCCGTCAGCATGCGGAACTCCGGACCTTTCCAGGCGCAGAAGGCGCGAGCTTCGTGGTAGTTCACCACCACCGGCCAGTCCCAGGGCATCTCTATCACATCAAACATCACACGCAGTCTGGGGATCAGGAGAAAGCAGTCGTACAATGTATATTGGCCAATGTGTCAAAATGATCTCTTTGTGTGGTATAGACAATATATCTCACATCATGTGTTCTACTATAAGTCTGAATCCATGAAGGCATGTGAAACTTTAAAATTGCCGATTGTGGTCTTCTGACCTCATAATCACTGCCTGAGACGTCTTGCATGTCAGAATTCGAACATATGTTACATGTATGAACGTATGGACATCTGACAACATATAATGTACTATCAATGGTTGATGTCATTGGTAACATACGCAATATGTATATTTCCCACCCAAATTTCATGTGACCTACATGAAGCTGATACCACAGAATGTTGCCTTTTGTGAAAAAAGATGAATTGTGATCATTTTTTCTCAAGTTCTCACCTGAAGTCTGGCTGACATTCATTTCCATTGTGTTGTCCATTAGCGGTGCCATTCTGGTGCCCGTTGCTTGTTCCATTTTGGACCCCATTTTGAGGACTGATACCGTTGCCATTGGAGTGCCCGACATTTGGGTCACTGTAGGTAGTGGTGAAGTATTCCGGCAGGCAGTGGGAATGGGAAGAAATGACAGCCCCACAGCCAGACTTACATCCTGAAATGTTGTAGATTACTTTAGAAACATACCAAGAACTTCCACAGAAGACATCATTTCTTTTTACACAGTTTGAGTATTGTGTATCTAAATAATGTGTAATAGAGGGGGACCTTGATACAGATCTAAATGATGTTGCTTTTACCTCATAATCCTCCGTTGCAAATGTAAATAAAGTTAACTCTTATCACAGGATAAAATTCCTTCCTACCTTTGGTGCAGACCCAGAATGTGGGATGTCGTGCTTGACGGAAACATCGCCACTTCCACCCTGAAACAGAATGTTTCATTTACATCGTTACTGTATTAGGGAGAGTCTGATCACGACTTCTTTAAAGATTAACTAGGATCTTCAGACACAGCTACATCTCTGGTATGATATTTTTGTCATGGGATTTTCACTAAGGCTCAGAATTGACCAAGAGGGATCCTTGAGAAGTTAGCCTATTCTGTCACCAGACATTTCAGTTTTGTACTAGTACCACACACCCACATTGCCAAGAATTTCCATATGCTGTCATAAATCTATTGTAGACGTGATCTTTGCCCTTTGACCTACCTTCTTTTGTCCAATAGGAGGAGTTCTCGTACCCTCCTGCCTTCACAAACTGCAGGATCTCACGGTTGGTCACCTTGAACTTGGAGGCCTCAAATGTTGGAACCCTGGAAAAGAAATCACGTGTGAAGTCAACAGAGACTAAAACACTATATCATTAGTAGTGCAATTCAATAGGCTGTAAAGGAAGGGAACAGAGGTTGGCATGTTCAGTACCAAGGACAGGGATGTTGTTTAATTCCAGTCAGTTATCAGTACCAAGGACAGGGATGTTAAAAGAATCAAAAAGTTTAAATCTATTGGAACATCAGACACCTTTCTTTATGATTTCTCATGAATTAATTTTAGAATTGGGATCAGACGCTGAGAAATTGGCCATACTTGGACTTCATCTGAACAAAAGTGTCTAAACACAGAGCTAGAGATGGATGGAGAAAATGCATGAATAGTTATTACCTAAATCACATTTCAACTTCCTCTGATGATTTTCTGATGAAGACTTTGGAATAAAAAGTGGAAACCGGTAAAATTGATAGTCTCAGCCGTCATCCTTCTGACGAACTCTTGACTACATTTCAACTTCCTCGTTACTAATCCATCATAAATGTGAGAGAGAAAGTTGAAACAGTTAATGGAAAAGATTTTGGACAAAAGAAAAGTCTGACTGACTCTTGCACTTAAATTGCTCTGTGAGAATGAAATACCAGTAAGACATTGGCACCGAGGGAAGCTCGACCCAGTGAGTGAGTGAGTGAGTGTATAATAACCGTCTACTGCCTTGGACACTGCGATGAGATACATCTCCAATAGTTTCCATACTTACTTGAAAGTTCTCTGTCCGTACTCCACACACCAGCCATAGGAGGGGAAGTCCTCTGGTTTGCCAAACGTCACCTCTGCCCCCTCCACACGGAGCAGGGGGTTCTTCTTGATACTGGCGCCTGGTGGTAGAGGGGGTAAGGGTATAGGAAGAATGCTAAGTTAAACACAAGTATTAGCAAGCAATGTAGATATGGCCCACAGTATTCTAGTTTGTTTGAAAGGTGACAAGCCTAGACAAAAGAGAGTGGAAAGCATTGGTGCATGTTTAACAAATGTGAGCGGTGACGATGATGATGAGTGTTTATGATTTATTTTGGCAGTGCAAGGACATTCTTGTGTAAAAATCATTGAGGAATGCCTTGATCTTGAGAAGAATTACATTGTCTCAGATGAGAGTGATAACAGAATGTGTAGCAGGCTAGCAGCAATTGTGAGTCTTAGATGGCAATGAAGTCTGAAGAGGAAGATGCTTGTTTTTGTATATACAAAGACAGAAAGGTGTGAGCCCAAAGGCATTCCAATCTAAACATCCTTACATGCAGCGTACCTGTGCTAGCTGGAGCGTACTTCCACTTAGGAGGGGTGGTTACCATGGTGATGGGCATCTGCCTGATGAGCACAGAGGACGTCTCAATGTGAATCTTCTCGTGCTCCACACCCATCATCACAGCCCACTGGGGAAAGGGCAGCTGAGTTAGACTTTAACCAATGACAGTCATGCCACCATTGTTACACTTGTTGGTATATAGACAAATTTGCTTATTGCAAACCCTTGCCTGTGGGCTAACTGAAACAAACAAGAAAGGTAACATTTGCAAAGCAAATGCATAATGTTTACCTTCGCATGTCGCAAGATGAAAATTGATTAACTAAAATTAAAAGCTTACTATTAAAACCTACTGGGTTTGACTTCTTTTTGATGAAATATATATACAAATGAATAATTGTATTACACTTGCACAATTTGCAATGACTTATGACCTCTGACCTACCCATGGGCTGTCCTGTGTGATTGGCAGTTGGAGGGGCGTGTCCTCGATCAGCTGACGGATGCGGTTGCGGACCAGGCGGCGAAACTCCACCGTCTCCTCCAGCGGGGGCCACTGGAAACTGCCGCCCATACGGTAGTTCTCCTGTCACAGAAGATGTAAGCCAAATTTCACTAACTGCTTATAATCTATTTGCTCTTTAGAATCCTTAGTCTAACAACATAAATATGTAGTATAGATAAAGTAATTATTCCTTGACACTATTGAAGAAAAGGGAAATATATTGTTTTCTCTAATGTCATTTTTCTGCTTCAGTACTTGTATTAAATTATCATGAAATGTCATCTGTGTTGGTAGTAATCATAGAAAAATGTCGAACTTTATTCCAACAAACAGGTTAAACAGAGATCACATTTTCAGCAATCACTGTCGCCTTCATCAGGATAATTAATGACCAATTGCTTCGAAACATAATCTCGCAAGGGTTACAGTTACACACACAGTCACACACACAATGTATCATCAACAGATATTCACCTTTCCTTCTAAAAGTCTTACAATGTTTGAAGGAGGACCTAGAGCCTTACCGTGTCGTCCCAGGACATTTCATCCACTCCAGTCTCAAACATGGTCTCAAAGTGCAGGTTGACCCTCTGTGACATCAGCCCTGCCAGCATCAGTTTGTTCACGTACACGGTGGCCGTGTGGGCGTAGTAGAAGATCAGAGGCAGCCGCAGCCGGTCTGGACACTTGTAGAACGCCTCCTCATCTGGAACAAGGAGTAGAGAAATGTTTACTGTCAAGTGTCAAGCTAAGTTGGACCATTTGCTAGTCACTCATCCTAGTACAAGTAACAGGCAGTTTCCCAGCATTATCTGATCAAAAATATGGTGCCCTGGCTTTCCAATGCATAAAAGTTATCTTTATCTTCTCGTAAAATTTGCTCTATTTTTTGGCGACGCCTCAGGGGCGGAGCCCTTAGTATAGTACTGCGATTGAATTGCCAGGAATTCTAAATATTCCACGCACGCATTCCCTAGGGAATTCATTTTTGGCAACACCATGCGTGTGAGGTCTTCCCTCCTAGCTGCTTTTCAATGACTTTGGAGCTTTTCCGACAGCTTGGACAGGATCATTGTTTGGAATTGAACAAGGTCAGCATTTGAAGTCAGATGTTTCAAAGGAGATGTCGTGATTGTCTGAATATAAACCAACATGTCACCGCGTTTGGTTGTTGTTTTTTTCTAGTAGTTTTCCTTCTCTTTATGAAAAGTATGTGTTTGGACATAAACCCAACGGATGAATTCAAGTTCTTTTCAATGTTTTAAAGGAGATGTCGTGATTGTCTGAATATAAACCAATATGTCACCGCGTTTGGTTGTTGTCTTTTTCTTGTAGATTTCCTTCTCTTTATGAAAAGTATGTGTTTGGACATAAACCCAACGGATGAATTCAAGTTCTTTTCAATGCAACTTTGTGAGGATAAAGGAAAGACGCAGAGACAAGGCTTTCCGCACACTGGGCACGGGAGACTTTAAAGACGGACTGGCTATGACTATATGATACTGGCTACGTTAACCCTTTCAGTCTTAACTGAGTTATATTTTCATTCTTGAACTGACGACCCTTGTCGTAGAAATCCTGTGTCTTTATATTCTGTATTACCGCATAACAGTGGTACATCACTTCAGCACACATATTTGTAACCGGAGCAATAACAGGGACTACAATAACAGAGAACTGTATAAGTAATTACAAGGGAACTGTTCGGAGTTTCATCAGGTCTTGCACTATCATCTTCTTACAAGTTAGTCAGAGTGCAATCGTACCACAGCTCCCATATACACCGATTGTTCAGCATATTTATGGTTTTCAAAATGTGTACATTCTCCTGGATTCGATTTAAACCGTCATTGGCGAGGTTTTCTAAATACATATAAAATAGGTCATTACAATATATACACTAAGATACCGTAAAACACAGGCAATGTATCATCGTAGTACAGACGTATGTAAGTCATCCCAGTAATCTCTAACTGGTGTAAGGTTTACTGTGGCTATAGGCTTAGCAATGCATTACATAGCCTGCACGTGATGGCTATGCTACTGATCTGGTTCCCTCCCATGTTGCCTTCTTTCTGTCGACGATGCTACTACTAATACACATATGATATCAACATGCTCCTTCTACCATCATCAACAATATCGAAGCAAAATTTTACACAAAGGAGACTGGAGTCAGTTGTCATGATCAGCTCTGTGACCGGGAGGCTTGAGTCAGCTGTGACCACGGCTTCTGGCATATGTGATTGTCCCGGCTTTAGCACGGCAACTGCCGGCTAGAGCTTGCGCACTAGCTCAGGCACATGGTATTGCAACTGTATGGAGAGAAAAAAGGCTGTCATTAGTCTGATAAGGTGTGAGGCTTGTTGCTAGTGTCAGGACAAAACAATAGACAGGACTTCACACATTGAAGGTATCTATACATGAAATACACTCCTACCATTATTGTATATGATACCTGACACAACTCAAGTTTAAATGGCTACCCTCTATCCACGGCAAGTTAGTCAACAGTAATATGCCTCTCACCGCGCCTCATAAAGATCTCGGCCAAAACATATCGTGGTGCGAACGTCACAGCAAATGGTAGCGGTTTGAAATGTATTACTTCAAAACAAGGTGAACATTTCCTAAACAAGTCATCGAAACGTAGAAAACAGTTGAAGACAAGGCTGATATAGAATGTGCGTCAAAAGTACACTTGACATGACAGCTGTGAACTGCATAAATAGCAGTCCTTCTGCGCTTCATAAATTAACTTAGCCAAAACTAGCCGACATTACCAAACATCCACACCCTGTAGAATTATGGATAAAAGTACGTTTGAACTCACCTTTTTGTGTCTGTATCCCTGGTTTAGAGAAGGCAAAGGGGCTACGTATCTCCACGCCCGCCGGCCTGGGCAACTGTAGGGAAACAGCGGTGATTAGCCTCGTGTCAACTGTCATTATCGCGGGAACCGAAAAGGAGGAAACAAACGCTTATAACCTTGCTTCTTTACCTGTGAATATGTTAAGAAGTGGCTTCCTTATTTAGGCAAGAAGGTAGCTTCGTTTCCTATTTGAAGATTTCGCTTCTCATTTAGCCTTAGGACTCGGCTACTAAAATCTGAAGTTTGTTTAGTATAAACTATTTTTTTGGCCCTGCCCAGCTTGACACCCAATTCGACCAATGGCAGCCCTGCTTCTCCCAGACATCCAGATACCACGTGTTTCAGAATCTCACACGCCACATGCCTTGCATGGCTGTGAAAATAGTTCTATGTCGCCATGTGGGCCATATGGAACTTTATGCCGGACACGAAAGCCGATCCTCGCCCGCTAGGTTTACGTTGACTAGTGCACGGGGAATTCCCCGTTTGTACCGAACGGGGTTTCCCTGTTTGTATCGCACGGGCCACGCTCAAACTTTTCCGGAATTGACCAATCAGAGCATCCATGTGCTCTCTTCTCGCGTCCTTTTCCACAAGCAGGACGGTTTCAGTTTATCGAGGGCATGGGCAATAAGACAAGTTTGGCTTATCTGTCTAGAATGCCCCCACACACATCGCAATGGACATCAAAGGCAGATTATTGTGGGAAACACTAAAGTAGTCCAGCGCTACATTGATTTCATACCGCTACCATTTGCTTCAAAACAGGGTGTACATTTCATATTCAAGTCAAAGAAACGTAGAATTCAGCTGTAGACAAGGCTGATATGAGGGTCTGCATGGGGGGGTCCTGGCAACGGTTAACGGTAAATTCAGCAGGGCCGATAACGCTTAACGGTAAATTCAGAACGGTCGGCAACGCTTAACGGTAAATTGACAGGCTTTTTTTCGAGCTGTACTGGATTTGGTATCTCGCTTTGTGAGAAAAGCTAATCACTGACAAAATTACATGTAATGAAGCACGCATTAAAGGTATGTGTTCCCTGTGTTTCCCACCTGCCCTGGTCCCCGAGTGCGTCCACAAATAAAGGGGAGTCCGAGTCGACGTCGGCCAGCTTGCATTTTTTCAGTCTGCCCAGTTTTACCGATGGATTTTGAGAGGGGAGCGCCGAAGGCGCTCGTAATCTGGGGGGGGGGATGCTCCCCCCTGGAAATGTAGGATTTTTAAGCCTTCAAAAACGCAATTTCCCGCATTTTGAGAGGCAAATCATGGTGTTGAGAGTGTTTGTCAGTCCTTCTGATGTTTTCATATTTTACTCAAGATTTTTTGTTAATTTGCCTGTCAAGGTTGACGGATTCGTTTAAAAAATTCTGTAACTCTCCGCAAACTTCCGGAAATTGACGGGAAAGCTGGTTCTGACTAGAGTCGAAGGGAACCCAGCGCAGAAGCGCGAGTCGAGCGCCAAAGGCGCGAGCAATGTAGGGGGGTCCGGGGGCATTCTCCCCCGGGAAATTTTGTATTTTTAAGTCCTCAATGACGCATTTTCCTGCACTTTGAAAGGCAAAATTAGGCGTAACGAAGAATTATTCATTAACGCTTAACGCTGAATTTAGGATGACAAATAACGTGTTACGTAGAATTAAAACGACCAATAACGCTTCACGAGGAATATACTGATAACGCTTAACGTTGAATTAGAGCGGGCCGGCAACGATTAACGGTAAATTAAAATAGCCCATAACGGTTAACGAAAAAGAGCATGCAGACCCTCTGATATGTCCAGCGCAAAACATTGACACGTTTCACAATCAAAGCCTCACAAACCAACCACTGAACAGGCCGGGTGGTTACAGGGGTCTTCTATAACGTCTTCTATAAGATGAACGATCCGAAATGTGAAGTCGTCATCAGGACTTCATACACGGAAGGTTTCTATACATAAAATACACACCTACTATAATTGTATATGATACCTGTCAACGCTCCTGTTTAAAAGTGTACCCTTAAAATAAAAGCACGTATGAACTCACTGTTTTGGGAGTCTGTTATCGCTGGTGGAGAGGAGGGCAGTTGTTCTCAGTGGTCCGGGGTACGGCCACGCGGAGTGCGGCCTCGTCTGCGGGTTCGTCTCGTCTAACAGTAGAAGCATTAGTTGAATACCGTTCAGGGGTCCAGTTGTAAGTATCGTTGATACGGCAAATGAGTCAAATAAGTCAAATAGTTTGTCAGTTGGTACAACGAAAGTTTAGTACGTCCTCGCGGGTAGCTGGCGACCGACTGACTGAATGAATGGTCCCCCGTGCACGCGGACCACCCAATGCGGTGGTCAGTCAGACAGATAGGTTTGTTGCTATGGCAACTGTCGCGACGGACTTAGTGGGAAATAGTCTCCCTTCCGGTTTACAACAAAACCCCTATTTTGCAGGGCAAAATGCCTTTAGCTTCCAAACTCACGGAATGACAGAAAAGCATGTGCCATCCTACATGTCCTACAGTTTTGGAAAAAGGTGATATGTAAATATTAAAAAAAAAGAGAATAGCTAGTCTTCTGCACGATTATCTTATGAAAGAATGTTTTGTGCAAAGTCATCTTAGTTTGCTTGTGAGAGAGGTATAACCATATTTTATTTCATTTGCCGTATCATAATGTTGTGTAGCGTAGTAACTATGCCCTGAACATCTGCTTGGAGACTTCGCACGCAGTAAAATCCGACCAATACAATCTCCAAGTAGATACAGAGACCTATTGTTTGTTTTACTAATTTTCAGTAAGTCTGTAAGCATTCACTCGAAATTCGAATATCAAACAATGGAACACTGAACAGATGCAGAGAAAGGGACAACCCCAACTATACCCACGAACATCTGCTTGGAGACTTCGTAAACAGTAAGATCCGACCGGGACACAATCTCCATGCAGATACAGGGACCGAATGTTTCTAGTCAGTCTGCTGTAAAATCATCTGAAGATCAAACAATGGAGCATATACAGAGAAAGGGACAACCCCAACTATACCCTCCCCCGAACATCTGCTTGGAGACCTCGTAAACAGTAAGATCCGACCGACACAATCTCCAAGCAGATACAGGGACCGAATGTTTCTAGTCAGTCTGCTGTAAAATCATCTGAAGATCAAACAATGGAGCATATACAGAGAAAGGGACAACCCCAACTATACCCTCCCCCCGAACATCTGCTTGGAGACTTGGTACACACAAGGACATAGTGTCCTTAGCTAGTAAAACCCGACCACTAAATTCCCCGGCCCTTTTCAGGGCCACCACATCAACAAGAAAGAGCTGTATCGTGTCAATATGCAATGATATTATATCGTACAGTAGCACGAAGTAGGTACTGGAAACACATGCTTTGCTAATGTAACGTAAGCTCGTACTCGTATCGCTTGTCGGTGCAAGGATACTGCCCGTAAATTATACAATGTCATACTTGTTGCTCTGAATGTGTGGGGCGCAATGGGCCTTAGATATTGAAGTATTACGCAGTAGAGCTCTCCGCGATGTGAACACCACGAAGGTTTACGTCAGACTGAGCTCCGGTTGTTTACGTTACGCCTTTTATCGGGCCAGGTCACCGTTAGTTATATAGTGCAATTTCGCTTTTTAACTAGGAAGGATCAAACACAATAAACAGAAGAGACATTTCTTGTTTGGCGAGATATGCAACCTTTTATTCTGTTGCCTCACAAACCATGTCAACACGTGCGAGACATGGTGTAGGATAGAGATTGTCTCAAATATATAACATGTGTCTCATGTCAAAAACCCGGCCAAAACACGCCTAACTGCGTGAAAGAAACCAAGACCAGTGCGTGTGCGAACGAAAAGGGGAAACCAGCCAATCGGGCACAAATTGTGCCGGAATGAGAAAGGAAAGGGGTTCACAAGGGATGCCTCCGTGAATTTGCGAAGGCGATGAGGAAAGTCAGACATGTTAGGTGGAATATGGAGACGCTAGATATTTCGGGAACCTTGGACGAGCGCCCGGTCTGCTTTCTGGTGGAGACCCACTCAGTGTACATGTAGCGTCAAACATAAATCCATACGAATGTGAGTTACAGCTCAGGGTACACAATTCATTCGTTGATGCATGCATCATTTTAGCACTCTCAAAAACAAACAATACAACTTCCTACATACAATACGGTGTCAAAAACACACACATTTTAAAATACTAGTAGAACTATAACAACAATCCGTTATAAGAAAAATTCCTTTTACTCAAGGTATATCAAAAGGGTTACAAATTTATACTATTATATTATTAAAATACTCACGTCGCCGGTGTGTTTTTTAAACACCGCCCTTGTTTCTCCTTTTTTCCTTACAGATCAATATTTCACAGCTAACTTACCTTTGAGCCCAGTGAAGAGGCTTTCATTCAAATCATAGCTGGCTTCAAAGTATTCAAGGATGTCACTGGAAAGAACAGCAATTATATCATGTCAAACAATGTAACAACAAAATACATGCAATTCACACCATGCAAAGTGTAAGACACAAATTAGGGACTATGAACTAACTAGTAGTGTAAATTGTAATTCTACATTTTGTAGTAGTAATGTTGACTGTGGTACTGGAACGTCAAACTATTGGACACAGGCAGCAAAGAGTTGTGGGGAAATGACTAATTTTTTTTAAATTTTTTACATCATACACTGATTTTTTTCTAATACTGATTTCTTTATGTAAGATTCTGAAACATAAGCACAATTTGGCAGCAATCAGCAAACAGTTACTACATGGTATCAGCAAAAAACTGCAAATTTGAAACACTGCCACAAGGCTGATATGAAGGCTCCTCCTGGTGCCTTACCTTTTACTACAGGAGGATAGGTCCAGAGGCGCCATGCCTGTAGTACGGTACTTTCCTGTCAGTACTTTCATCATTGCCATGGTGATCAACAACTTGGTGTCCTCAGATGGGTCACGCACTGGAAGGACAAGAAAGACAAATTCACATTTACTGGTAGACAGTCATTTCGTGGTGTCCCATATGGCACCCTGGGACAGCCGCCATAGCGTGCTCCCTGTGCATTTTTGACACCATCGAAGTGACACGGTAATGCACATGATTAACTTGTGGCTTGGAATGTTGGTTGACGTGCCTGGGGTCGGAATTATCAGCTCAATAGCTTCATTCAGATGACTGGATTTTCAGGTGCGCTATTTAAAGCTAGATGCCTGAAGGGCATTTCTCTGGATGATGATTTGAGATAATTGCATACCAAAAATCCACCACTAATGTACTACTGTAAGGCTTACTGTAATAATGGTGTTTTTAATATAGGGTATGGATTCCAATTCAGTGGTAAAAGAAGCAATGACAATCCATCATTTTGACTTGTACAGTTTACATGGACACCTGTACTAGTGTCTGTCAGATGTATTGTCAGGGGAGGGAGGGGGGCAGCGGTTCATAGCAAAAATCAATACTGTACCCATAGCTACATTCTGTGTAGTTCAAAACAACTTTTTTGCTGCATCATGGTCAAACAGTCAGGGTTTGCTTACTTTATTTCATCAAATCCCCTTAAATCGATTTGACGAATTAAAAACAAACTTTCTTGTTTGATTACCTCTCTCCCTTTTAAAAGGGTCGTCCGCTAAAATATTTGACTTTTGCTGTTTTTGCAAACGCTGTTTCAATTGGATGCCTGCGTGCCACCAAAGGACAACTCAGGTCAAGACGATTAACTATGACAAAGCATTTTTTGTTTACTTTGTTCATTCTAGTTGATTCTAGACCATGTCTGAGACTGAATGATTCAGTGGCACTTGAAGTTGGCATTCAAAGGATTGCTGGAGCTGGTTACCTTTTAGAAAACTTTTGCCCGAGTCCCAAAAGTTTCTATTGCCAAGTCCCAATCAAAGACACAGAATGAGTACACTATAGCTAGTCAAGAACTATAATATGTACCATACAAATTGGTACTGTTTTGGAATTTTTGTGTGGGACTCCCTGTGTGTTACAAGTTCTATTTTTTGTAGCAAGAGTATGGAGAATGAAGTTCAGTTCAGTTTTCCCAGTTTCCTGACAATAAGATCATGTCATGTGAAACTAGACCTATCCAAATCAGTTCAGTAAGCTTTGACAACAACTTGAGTCTGGCAATTGCAAGTTAAGATTACGTAGTTACACACTGCACAGGTACTTGCTCAGCTAAACGTGTACGAATTGATTGTCTGCTACAACAGAAGCAACTCACCTACAGTATAGCTGCAGAACAAAATGTATATGTTACTAGGGTTAATATGTTGCAGTCAGTCAGTTTAACCCATTGCAATTTGGGGTCATACTAGACTCATAGCATAAAAAACTCACATGAGGCCAGGGGACACATTGTATTTCTTACTAACATTTTCAAAAGCTGTTCAACTGAAAGACAGTATGGCTATTAGCCTGGGTGCCAGACGCTAGCGTTCATAAAGCGATAGATTTTTTTTGTGTCCGCTACTGTATCCGCCGCCCAACCCCAGGCTGCCCCAAACCCAATATCTTTCACGCTAGCCTAGCGCGAGGAGATAATTAGAGCCAGTGTGCAAATCAGGGTCGGCGGGGCGTGTGCCTTTCCCGGGCCGAGGAATTATCGCCGACTCGCGGTAGGGGATGGCACCCAGGCTATATGGCTATCAATTTTCTATGTAAAAGAGATATTATAATATAAAGAAATGATAAAGAGCACATTTTTGTGATGTCACAATGCCGTGTGAACAGCCCCCTTTTTCATCTCCCTCTATTGTATTCGTTTCCCCCTACTCTATGCTCTAGTGGTTTACCCCAGGTATGTTTATTTCCGACATCAAAACATCACATGGAAGAGTCACATGTAGCATGTGACTAAATTCCATGTGACGTTTGTTATGCAGGGCAATAGGGCAATTACATTGTACCCACAGAATGTGACCCACAGAATGAAAATCCAAGTCATGTTTTAGGGGGTGTGCATGGGGAAATTGGATTTTGAATTAATGTACATGTATACAAAATTCTTGGTGCTCTTAACTTCGTTAGACAATAATTACATTAAGTTCAGAAAAGTCTCTAACACATTATTTAAATCACTAATGCCATGATAATGCTTTAAATTGGATTGGAACACAACTGCAAACAAAAATTAAAAAAAATATGCCTCATGGAAAGAAAGACCCCCAAAAGGCCAATCCTACATGTAGACAAAAGAACAAACTGTACCTTTGCCCCTAAAGAACAAACATGTACTGGTCAATGACCTGTCAGTCATGCTTTGTAAGGTTAACTCACCTTTCGCAAATAAAGGTCGCACACCATACCACTCTACATTTTTGCCATAAACTTAATTCTGACATTATAACTGTCTGTACTTTGGCATAGTCTTCTTAAACTTCCATTTGATCTTAAAAAGGTTAAGTGTTGTTTAGATCTGATAACAATAATTATTACTAATTCTAACCTTCTCCCTGTTGTCTAATCCCATAACCAATACCTTATCTGAGTTATCAGGAAGAAGGATAATGAAACCTGTGATTTGGATTCATTCTTAGCAGCTCTTGATGTCTTGAAGGATTAACGGTATACTAGTAAATCCCAAGGTTACATGTAACATTACCTACTTGACAATAGTCTGCCTTACAATAATACCACACTTACAAAGTTACAAAGACCACACACACAGCACAAGTATGTTTGCAACCCCCCCATTACAAAATAGACCAGTCCCAATGTCAGTGGAAATGCACTTGAGTTAGATGAGTTTATTGTCTGATGGGGGGACAGAGAACCTTTTTGACCTGAGATACCTAAGAAAACACTGTGACACAAGGAGATTTTAACATACTAGTACATATTGGGTGAACATTAATAACAGAATCTGGCTCTCAAAAGAGTCAAGAGCAACTGATAATATTTTCACTGATTGTGGGCCAGTGACCTAATCTTAGTTTCCCCGGGGGAACCCTAAGGCCTAACAAAAAGCAGTCAAGTTTTTTTCTCTTACCTCTTGTACATGGACATAATGTTTGCTATTATTACCTGGCTTAAAAGCGGAATGTTGACGAGTAGGTTTTCTAGCTGACATGCTTCAATTAATTTTAACCCCAGATTAGTGACAGGTTGACAACAAACTGAAAACAATACCAGTATGAATAGTCTTGTTGAATTTGTTGAAAGACCACATACCTTGTCTTGTTGAATTGTTGAAAGACCACAGTTTGAATTGTGTAACTGCTCTGTTACAGCTGGAAGATTATTACATCATCTCTAGTCTAATGTATGTACATTGCAGCACCAGTCACTATCCCCCTTCCTCCTTTCCTGGGAACGACCACGGCCCTTCCTTTCAGGTTTTCATTCACACCTGGACAACTGCCAAGAAATCTGACACCTTGTACTGTATACCTGACCCCAAAGAGGTAAAACGTGCATTGTCAGCGTGACTAGGCAGTTTTTTTTGAGAGGCTTACAACTTAACACAAGTGATTTCCATGACGTCACGGTCAGCGAGTGGTAGGCATAGCAGGTGACAGTTGGGTGATTTGACTACTGATGTCTTCAAAATAACTTGCATGGAAATGCTGAGGCAAAAATGTGATGTCCCTGACAAAAAACAGTTGCTTGCTTCATATCTTAGCTAGCTCTAGCTATTTATTGGTGGTACCAAAAAATAAAGTGCCTCCTTCCATAGCTTATAATGTTTGGGGGCTATATTTGAAATACGTAAAATATGAAATGATGGTTCAAAATGTGATAAGATATGCTTACAGATTATAATTAGCTTGGACAAAAACAGGTGTCTTGTCAAAAACGCACCTAAACCAGGCATATCTATGTTATTCAAAGCTACTAGTATTTGTCTTTCTTCTTTGTCTCAGCATACAATAGGATTTAATTACTTGCCTCAGGATTTGCTAATGGGAAGACAAACTTGTTTTGACAATTTGCAATTCAGAATATGCACTTCGTTTGGTTCAGAACCAAAGCTGTATTACAGTTTTGTAAATGTATTAATAATTTAACAATCCTTTTGAAATCCTACTCAAACTGTATAGAAATTTGCAAAGGCACTGACAGGACTCAAGTTGAGCATGCTTCAGAATTGCTTATGCGGCCTAGCAACACATTTTTGCTAAAACATTATGCATAAAAACCTATAGGTAAAATGACATGGTGTCAAATATTTCAACAAATGTGTTAATTTTTTTCTCCTCTACATGAAAAGCATGCTATTCATTTGGGCAAGCATTGTTCTTGTTGTTGTTGAGCCCACATAATCAAATATCTCACTGCAAAATAGTAAGCTAATATTTTGTCCAAAATCTAAGTCTCCTTTGTCAGTTAGTCAAACATATCAAAGATGTACACTACTCTAAAGACACAAAATACAAAATGTACCTTAAATCTTCACTGGTTATGGCCTCCAAAAACAGTTGTATACAAACTGTGAAACACCCACAGAGCTTTCCCGTCTGCTGCCAGTATTGGAAGATTATAAAAGAACAGGCCCAGGTTGTGTAACTGGGACAGATTCCTGCACGTGATGTGACCTGGTTTCCAATGGTTTATAATATTATGGCAAAGGGAGAGACCACTAACAATCTGTCCTGGAGAGACCTATATATAATGGCCTGTATATGGCCATGTATCCTTGTAGCACACTGAAGTACTGTAGACATTCCGGCTTAAATGGTTTTTCTGAATTAGGCAGCAGGGAGAAGATCACACACATGTAGGTTACAAAAACAAATGGTAATTTTACCCAGTATAAAAACTGCCCCTGGAGCAGTTTGACTACTACATTGTATCAGGAATTCAATGCAAAAATGTCAACAACAAGGAACTGGTACTAACTTTAAAATAGAATGGGCTATCTCTGTTTTTGTGTTCAATGTGTGACTTAAGTAAATATAGTTCCTGGTAACGCCCACAACTTACACACACCCCCAACACACACCCCTCCACACACCTCCAACACACACACTCCCAACCCCCTGAACCCCACAGTATATCATCAGGGACTGTCTGTCAACTCCCTCCCTCCCAAGTTGTTAATGAACTTTCCTACCTTCAACTTGCATAACAGCCTTTACATAAGAAAGTCAAAATCTTTTTTTGACTTGAGCGATAAACTCTTAGAATTAAGTTGTTGTTAGAAAAACTGCCTGGTAAAACCTGAAACAACACTAAGACTTGTAGAAGAAATTTTGTCAAAACCCTGTTGGCTCACGTTTGTCCCATAAGCCTCATTTGAGGTGAAGGCTATCTTGCATGTATAACCTGATAAGGTCATGGCTTAGTCATGTTATATAACCATGGACGTCTGTACGTTATATAAGACTAGCTTTGTATGTTAATAACTTACATATTGCAAACACATGTGACCTTTCAGACATGCATGTACAAATGTACTACCAAAAGTAAAGGCGCATTCTAGTATTTATTGACAGCATTGAATCCAACAATTCATCAATCGTCAAACTTTATGTACACAAGATGACCTTTGATTTTGATTGATGTACCTTCTATGTCCACTAGCATGTTAAACTCAAAGGTCCACAGAATAAAACATTCATGAACACAGTCAATACTGGCTTTGTAACTCTCTCAATGTATGCACAACACATAGAACAATAAAACTTTTGTCTGGTGTAAAAAAAATGGTAACCTGGAAAATGTATCTTCCGTATACCATACAAAGATACTGCACAAAAATTGCATGTAATTTATTTGTACCATTTTTGGCAGTTAGTATTAGCCTCTGTTACACAATCTCTTGCTGCCAGGGTGGGCTGCTAGATGCTATGTTGTGAGTAGATTTGTACGTTGGATCGTAATTTTCATGGGACAGTTAACTTAATCATTACTCAATGGCAAATATCTTGCTGAAAATAGGTCAATCCTTACTATCAGCAACCGCTTCACAAAGATGCAAAATATCCTGCCTGACCTAGTTTTTCTGGTGGGTCAATCACAGAAAAATAATTGCAACAGGGTCAACAGTTCAATACTTCAATAGTTGGCACTATTTCTACTAAGGTGGACAAAAACCGGGCGCATGATAAAGAATCAATGTCACAATTTTCCCCAACAACCTCTGCTTGGAGAGTAACTATTTCAATCAAGGACATTATACACTCTGTGTATAATATCCTTGGTTAAATCCATTTATTTTCCCATGGATTTTATATCCCAACAGTACTGGAAGGAGGTTTACTTCACCGTATTAATTATTATGCTTAAAAAAATCAAATGTTCGCAACTTGTTTCCAATCACAGTGTGATGATTTCACAGTGGAAATCTAGATTTTGAAACCACAGTAGATCTCGCATGAAAGTCCATCTGAGTTGGTAAAATACATGAAGAAAAGTAAACTGTTCTCCAACTCAAAAAGAAATTTTCGGCTGAATTGCCCAGTCTTCACCTGAACTTTATGACCCTTGAGCTAAAAGTCACGTGTCAACAGCTGATGAAGACTGAGCGATTCAGTCAAAAATTTCTGGTGAGTGAATTTCTTTTTGAGCTGGAGAACAGTTTAATTTTCTTCAGTGTAGATCTCGTAGTGGTCGGCCTGACTTTCTCTCATTAGCAGGCAGGGAGAGAAGGTGTAGAAAGAATAGAGAGGAGATACTTCAGCCGTAATAGTCTATTGCAATCTACAATCAAGTTCCAGTTGAGGCCCTCCGCTGCTTATGACTTAAGAGTGTAGCACTTAACATGTTAATTGCTATACTCTACTGTGTAGGATAATAATATGTCCTTTGCAAATCACCTATGACCAGAGGGTACAGCTGAATTGGCAATGTTTATACATAACTCTTCTGTGTACGTCAGGTTCACAAACAGTGTCAGAGCCTCAGAGGTGTCTATGTGCACTGCTGCTTCTGGTGTGCTGCAGTGACTTTGCAAATCCACCATGTAGCATCTCAGAGCAGATACTGGGAGGTAAGATGGCAGCATATTTTGCATCCTGCATACGAATTTTATGCAGGAAGCGGTGTTCGCAAAATGCCTAAATTATGTCTAAACGTCTCGATTTTCCTACAAATATTTCTGACATTTAATATCATATCGATCTTGACATTCTTCTGCTGTATGACTAAAACCATTAGGACTTACTGAAACCAAGGTTTGCTGAAACATAAATTATTTGTTACACAACCCCTGCCTGGGGGTAGCCTGGGGGCGCAGTTGGCCTTTTTAATCAGTTTTATTGGGTGGGGAAATGGATACAGACTGGCCAATTTGATACTGTCTTATCCCCACCAAAAGATCTGCTTGGAGATTAGTTTTATATAACCAACGAGATCCTGACCCTGATCCAACATGGACACTGCCCCTCCACCCAAACCATCCCCAGCCGAAATATAAACCCACGATCTCATGAAGAAAACGATCTGATCAAATCATACATTTGACAGGAACACTCAGCTGTGTGTATGGACCGTATCTCCGTACTTGTTGGGCCGATTTTTTGTGCGATCTCTTGGCGCGCTGGCTTTGCAGTGAACTGTAAAACCGCTACTCATGCTTTTGAAAGCATCTGCTATCACAGGCTATGTTGCAGTACTTTTGTTCCAACGGTTTCCACGCATGCAACAAATTGTACAAAATATTACCTGCTGCTTCGATGCCTGGATTATTGGGCACTTGAAGTTGAACGTGGACGTAGTTTCCAGGTTTTGCTCTGACTGTTGCTTCCGTCACAACACGGAGCCTGTCTCAACAAAGCTTGACCGCGTGGTGACGGCGGGGATATGAATGAAACATGCAGGGGGCGTGGTCAATCAGGTTACTGAGGTCTGCCCTCTGATTGGACGAAGCAAAGTGAAACAAATGAAGGTGGGAAACAGGGCAAGCCTCTACCAGGCACCGCGGATTTGGACAAAAATATAGGAAATAACATATGTACTATTAAGTAATAATGATATACCAGGTGAGTTAGCCGGTCAGGCAGGGTACATTTTGCGACCCACGTGGCCAGGGCAAATGGATTGGGAATAGGAATGGATTGTTATATGTATTTTCAAATTTGTAGAAAATGTGAAATCATGTGGACCATCATCTAAAAATGGAGCTGAATGATTTTTCAGATTTGACAGAATAGGAGTCATGCAATGTTCGACAGGCTGACATACTGCTACAGTCAGTAGTGCAGGTGAATGAGGGCGTGACGTATTTCACCTTTGACCCGCATTTCCGCTCCGCCATCTTGGAAAAGAAGACAGTGGGGGGACGTGGAAGTTTTGTCGATTTTGCGGAAGAAAACGGCAAAGTTGACAACATTTTCAAGATGTCTTGCTCTATGCTGTACATTCTAGACTTGAAGGGGAAGGTAAGTGGAGAACATGATGTTACCAAATGGAAGAAAACCTCGTATTTGCGATGTAAAATCTGATGATGATTTTATACAACCACTTGCTTGTCAAAGATCAAACCATGGAGGTTTTTCTACCTCCATGATCAAACTAACGCCAGCTTAACTTTGTGTTGTCTCTTTCTTAAATTTAAAAATCACCACTACTGTTATTCTTATCTTTCTATGTCAATCCATGCAGTTGCACTAAAGGTTATAGCTACAAATCATTACAGTAATTTGTTATATCTACTAATTGTAGGTAAATTTTATACACGATAATTTTTTTAATCTTCCGCATACAGACTGTGCAAAATTATAATTAACATCATGTGACTTGAACCAATGTAGAGTTGAGTGAAAAGAAGGACAATATTGTACACAATGCAGACTCTATACTATTTGAATTTGTTAGTTTGTATGTCTCCTTGATATAGTTGTATATGTATAGCCGGTAGCACCTGGTAGTCTGGTACAGTAAACTGTATACAGTAGGTAATGTCTGTAGGTATGTATGTCATGATATCTGTATATCAGAGCATCTGTAATGTCGATGGATTCCTTTAGATCGTTCTGAGTTGGATATGACTACGTCTGTTCCACAGGTCATGATTTCCCGTAACTACCGTGGAGACATTGAGCCGTCGGTGATCGACAAGTTCATGCCTCTGCTGATGGAGCGGGAAGAGGAACTGCAGACGTCACCCATCATCAGTACTGATGAGGTCACGTTTGTGTACATCAAGGTCAACAATCTGTACAGTATCCTTTCACACTGCAGGGCAGGGGTAGCATGTCAATGACCTGAACCAGATGTCTGTCACCATGGTAACTAGTGTTGGGTTACATCTGATAAGTATGTAATTGGTTCTAGTAGTAAAGTGGTTTTAATTACTAGTATTGGGTATTGTAAATGGTACAGGTAAGAAGATGTGTGAAGTGCTAGAAATCCTTTTTTGACCATCCAGAGAACTGTTTAAGCCTTAACGTCTGCTCAGTGGTTGCCACTACAAAGAAGAATGCCAATGTGGCACTGGTGTTCAGCTTTCTGTACAAAGTAGTGCAGGTGAGTTCCATGACTTTACCAGTGAAAGTATCGAAAAATGTATTTTGAGCCCTCTATAGTCTATTGGTTGAGAAGATATAAACTGCAATTATTGCTCCCATAGACTTTAAGAAGACATCTTTTTTAATACCTCACCACGCTGCTTGTTTCTTGTTCACAGATTTTCATGGAATATTTCAAAGAGCTGGAAGAGGAGAGCATCCGAGACAACTTTGTCATCATCTATGAGCTGTTGGATGAAGTTATGGACTTTGGCTACCCTCAGACAACAGACAGCAAAATCCTACAGGAGTGAGTTATAGAGAAGGACTGTCAGGGTCTTAAACCTGATCAGAAGGCTTCATACTTACTTTTGGCAGAGCTCCCACTCGACCAAGGCTTCATTTAGAGATAAATTAATGCTATTGGATGTACCAACAGTTTAGGAAGCTACTCAAGCTTTGAATATTTTTTGTTTTTATTCTGCATGCTCAAAACTTATCCTCTTTAGCCCTTGTGAGAAATGTGCAAGTAGTTCATTAGTCTATTGGTGAAAATCTCAGTAGCATCATACTTTCATAGTGCAAACATATCTAACTCTACAGGAAACAACAGATGATAAATCGGATAGATAAGAAAGAGAGAGAGAGAGTTAGTAAAGTTTTGGACCAGTTGACCTGTGTGTGGCTGTTAAGAGAAAAATCTTTTATACTAAAAAAAAATGTTTTGTATTAATATTTGCTAAAACTGTAAAAGCAAGTATTGGCTTCTTAGTTTGATGATGTTTTCATACCTCTTTTAGGTACATCACACAGGAGGGCCATAAGCTGGAGACCCAGGTACGGCCGCCCATGGCTGTCACCAACGCCGTGTCCTGGAGGTCAGAGGGCATCAAGTATCGCAAGAACGAGGTCTTCTTGGACGTGATTGAGTCGGTCAACTTACTCGTATGTTGGCATCCTTGTCTTTGATGCAAAATTAGACTGCACTAAACAATTCCTTAGTCCCACCTACCTCCATAAGAACTTAAAAATGTCAATCAAAATTCTTGAAATGTACAAATTTGACATATTTATACACTTTCTTATGGCTGGAATTATTCTTATTTTGATTGACAACCAGCATTGGTATATTCACGTTTTCAAATTTTGTATGTTAATTTGATAGGTACATGTGAAGCAAGAAAGTGTACTAGTATTTAAATGTACTCGATTTTGAATATTGAGCTGTTTTTAATCTCCCAAAACGAGGTGAGCCTAAACGGTCACGTACTGCAGAGCGAGATTGTCGGGGCCATCAAGATGCGAGTGTTCCTGACGGGCATGCCCGAGCTACGGCTGGGGCTCAACGACAAAGTCTTGTTCCAGAACACCGGAAGTAAGTCTTGTATTTTTTTCACGCCAATCACTCACAGGTCAGCGTAAACGGCGTTGTCTTAAGGAGCGAAATAATCGGCGGGATCAAGATGAGGGTTTACCTGACCGGGATGCCCGAGCTCCGCTTGGGACTGAATGACAAAGTCCTGTTTGAAATCACTGGTAGTAAGTAAAGTCTCTGCCTGGTGGGTTCACGTTTGTCGACTGTCATTCTGACTAATAAAAACTGCTGCAGGGCTGCTCTGGAAACTAAGGTCACATGGCTCGGACAATCTAAAGTCAGCAGCTTTCATAAATGCTGTTGTAATGCCGTTTCAACCTTAGAAGCGATGGTGTGTAGATTGTGTTTTGTGTCTTTTCTTGTTGCCATAGATAAAGAGATTAAAATTGTGTATTCCATTTCCGCATGTATTTGTAGCATCTGTTTTTCAAAAGATGCTTCTTGAGGTTGAACTGTCAACTGGTCTTCTACTACTGCCTCTTTTGTGTTTAACATGCAGTATATTCTTATAAACATGCCTGTAACAAGCATTCAGCCTGTGTTTGCGTCTTTTGTGGGGATATACTTTCTGGTTGGGTCTTACAAACATCACAACATCTGGATCTTTATACGAGCGATTGCTGTTTTTGTTTACATCACATAGAAGATGCAGATTATTTGCAGACATATGCAAATTATTGGCAGGCAAGTCAGCCAACCACCATCTGCTTTTTGCCTACCGTGACAACATGGTGATCGCTCGTATTGATTTTGGCCTGATTTTTTTTCCAAAAGGGGGAAAATGTTGCAGAACAGAAGTTTTATGGTATTGTATGGCAGTGTTATGTAACCACATGTGTCCCCCTCCCCACCCCTATAGGAGGGAAGAGTAAGTCTGTAGAGCTGGAGGATGTGAAGTTCCACCAGTGCGTCCGTCTGTCCCGTTTTGAGAACGACCGCACCATCTCCTTCATCCCTCCGGATGGAGAGTTCGAGCTGATGTCATACAGACTCAACACACATGTACGTAATTGTTTCTTTGTTTTACCATTGGTAAATTGCTTCATGGTGTAACATATCAGTCCTGTACTGTATGTAAAGATGACACAAGCCAGGTAAGAAACTAACAAAATACAAAATCAAGCAATCCTTCCTGTTACTATGAATTAAGCAACTGAGTGAATTCTCAGAAATTTTTGCTGAAATCCAGTTGCTTGATTATTTGTTGTGTTTCTTCTTCCTCTTTTTTTTCTCCAAATAAGGTCAATGACTTGAAGTAAACCAGGGTCTGTCACCATGGTAACTAGTGTTGGGCTACATCATGTTGCAATTTTATAGCAGGATTTAGACTCCTGTCACCATATATGTGAATGTGTTTGAGTAAGAATTAACAGAGCAGACCATATGTGAAACATTATGCATTTGCCTTGCAAATGTTACCTTTCTAGTTTTTATTTTGCATCACATGATGTTCCTCATGGATTTCTAATTTCCATTGGTGTGGGTAAGGAACTGTTGCCGTTGCACACCATAGTCAGTGGTCGAAATACTTTTTTTCAGTGCTCTGCAATATTGCAGAAGAGTCAAAATTTCGTCCTGCAATTTGGAAATACTTTCTGCAAATACACAAGCCCCCATATTACTACAACCTTGTGAAACCAATAATGCCTATTTTAAAATCATATATATAGCTTTGTAAATCTGTAGCATAATTGAAATTCTTCAAAATATCACTCTTTTAAATATGTTCGGACCGTAAAAATTTTATCGGTCCGGTCCCAAAAAACCGAAACGTCGGTGGACCGGTTTTTTGGACCGGAACAAAAATCCATACTTGTTGTTAGTGATGATCATTACATACAAGGAAGCCTGCCAGGAAAATGAAAATCCAGCCTTCAAATAAAAGAAGTTTACCTTAGTCTCCGTCTCTCTCATTTTGCAACAATATTTTCCCGTATTTTCGGTACCGATAGTCATATAGAAATCATAAAGGACAAGTTTACGGGCCGTGTTTGGTTCGGATCAAGCCGAAAATCACTGATGTGACGCACGTACATTTTCACTCGAAATAAGAAATTACCGCCCAACAAAACGGACCATTAGGTTCCCAGTGCTGTATTTCTCTTTTGTTCATGTGATCAACTTGTTTTCTTTGCTTGAATCGTGCAAAATACCAACGAAAAACATCGAAACGTCGGCAAATTATCGCCGAGGCGAGTGTGCTTTTTTTTCGGAGGAGCCATGTTTCCTTTGCCGTGTTGCCTGCTGGGAAATACTTAGCGGAAACTGCCGAAAATTGCCGAGGCAGTTGTCGGGTCCTCCCAGGTGACGAAATCTAACATCGGAAAATGGCTAGTGCCCATATTTGGTTATCGTCGTCTTTCGTCGCCATGTCGGAATCGTTCAACTTTGACCCCAAATTCCCTTATATGGGACCATTACAGTCTGCTGGAAAACGCCGGCAGGTTCGTGCGGCGCAGGTTTTCAATCTATTCTGACAGCGCCGCTACTTTGCTAATTGAAAACTATTGAATCCATAGCCTATTTTTTTCCTTCTGCAAAATTGCAGATTGTAAGATTTTTTCTTCTGCAATCTTGAAAATCTATCTGCAAATTGCAGACTGCAGACGGGTATTTCGAACACTGATAGTGTAAACCTTGTCATGTTTGCCATGCATATAAAACACAAAAGTCACAGCTCAATTTTTCCATCATTTTTGTGCTCTTGTCTCCAGGTAAAACCGCTGATCTGGATTGAGTCTGTGATTGAGCGACATTCCCACTCCCGTGTGGAGTACATGATCAAGGCCAAGTCTCAGTTCAAGCGCCGCTCCACGGCCAACAACGTGGAGATCATCATTCCCTGCCCGAGCGACGCAGATTCCCCCAAGTTCAAGACGACCGTCGGGAACGTGAAGTGGGTCCCGGAGAATAGCGCGATGGTTTGGTACATCAAGTCCTTCCCGGTGAGTAACGGGACATTTCACAAAAACATCTCGTGTATCAAACCACAATAACTAAATGTATTAGACTTTTGGCTGGAAAGTACAGTACTAGACGTTTGACGAAAAAATACTAAATTTTTTAATCCTGGCCTATCTTAAGTACAATATTCTATCAGCTGTGTACTGATTGCAGGATAAGACAGAAGGGAGAAGGTTGAAAGTGACATGAAAGGAAGAGAGCATTTTGAAGACAACATAAAGTGCCAAGGAATTTCAGCATCTTTGCATGCACATTCCTACAGCCACTAACACATATCCACATTTGATTTCTACATGTACATGTAGTTATGCCATTTATGTAATTGACATCACTGACGTCTGCACTAGTGAACAGCTTGGAACTAAGGGGCTTGTGATGACTTTTTATATTCCATATAGAAATTATAAAAGCAAATATATATATTACCAGTGTTGATTATACTAGTAGCTGAGTTAGCATTAGGAAATAATTGACTAAACTTCTAATGTGTCCAGGGTGGTAAGGAGTACCTGATGCGTGCACACTTTAACCTGCCGAGTGTTGAGAGAGAGGAGACGGAGGGACGGCCGCCCATCGCTGTCAAGTTTGAGATTCCCTACTTCACCACCTCAGGGATTCAGGTTGGGACCCTGAACAGTGTTGTTTGAAATTACATGTATGAGAAATGTTTGTGTAAAACATAATGTTTTTACACTGTTTCCTCCTCTTCTTCTTCTCCAAACAAATAAGGTCAATGACCTGAACCAGACCATCTATCACTATGGTACATGATGTTGCAATTTTATAGCAGGAGGGATTTAGACTCCTGTCCATAAGTATGAATGTGTTTGAGTAAGAATGAACAGAGCAGACCATATGGGAAGGTAAATATTATGCATTTGCGTTGCGAATGTTACCGTTCAAGTTAGGGAGTAAAATGTTCCAATTTCTGTGTGCATGTTGCTGTATATTTAAGCTATGATAAAACTTTCTTGGTATATTTTCAGGTTCGCTACTTGAAGATTATAGAGAAGAGCGGATACCAGGCACTTCCCTGGGTCAGGTACATCACACAAAATGGAGGTGAGTTGTCTTTTCTCTTCTGACCTTCTTACTTTGAAAGTACAAATGTAAAACTAATCAAGATGCTCTTCAAAGGCAGAAATTGACATGGCCTCTTTAACATCTCATTAATTTTTTTGCTGTTGTTGGCATGTAGAAGTCCACTTGTAACATTGTTGTCTCTTTCTGTCCACAGATTATCAACTAAGAACCAGCTAGAGGACAGAGAAGTCAACCCAACTTCTGCATCTTAGTACACAGCCAAGACATGTGCAGATATTAGTGATGAATAATGAATAATGATAAAGTTATCTTGTTATCAGATTGGCACATATAATTTGGACAAAATAAAAATCATTGCTTTTAGACATAGCCAAATGCTGACAATGAAGGTAGAATAATTGATACTGGGGTATCTTTGTTTTACAACTATGACTGCGTTGGTATTGTAAACTATGATATCTGTGAGATGTATTAATTTGTGTAAAAAAAAATCAGGGTATCATGATGTTTAACGGTTCTAGGATGGGGTCATGTTTCTTGAAATCAACAAACTGTTTGCAGCAAAACTATGACCAGATGTATTTTGTACATGTACATTTTGTGAGAAGGTGTCAGAATTTGCTATGTACTACTATTATACCCAAGTTTTCTGATCATCAGATATGTAAAATCTTTTCTGTCTGCCTTGACACAAGTTGTCAGTGTCATTTCCTGACAAAACTGACATGATTATTGTGTCTTTTTGAATCAAGTATGATACTTCTTGCCTTCTGCAACTGAACTGAACATTCTATGAAGGAAAACCAAAGGGGATGGAAGCGTCCAAAGATATTCTGGTTATGTTCTGACCGAGGACAAACAAAACAATTATTCACATGCAGCTACATTGTAACCAAAACACTGATGACCTGCAAACTATATCTTCTAAGCTGCACACACAAGATAAAAGGATCTGGCAAAATTTTTAGTCAACAATACTATAGTATCAGGCCTGATTTTGCAAACAATAAATCATATGCTCTGAGACTATAACTTTTGTTAGTTTTGCCTCAATGACTCTATATGCCTATGATTGAAGACTGAACAAGAAGCCATAGGTGACAATCCTCCGTGAAGTTTTATATTTTGCAACAAAAATAATCCCAAGCGTCAATGCCAGACCTACTGTGCAGACATAAGGCAACGGTTAATACAATGAGGGCGCGTCACAACCATCTGTATCTGTATCTGTATAGCCGGTATAACCGCCTTTCGGCGTAACACACCAGCTATCATAAAACCAGCCACCATAAAACATAAAAAGACCTAAATCCATTACTGCTCCTAGGGCGTGTAAAGATACTGTGCTTCAAGTTCGAAGTTCATTTTAATTACACACACACAATCATTGCATTCACATAAAGATCGAACTATTATGGTTGTGTCACTAGTAACAAAGACAGCCTCACCGTCTTACCGTGCCTGTTACTTATTAAGCGCGACTGGCAAATTCCAGCAACAGTTGCAGCCAGCACCGCGAGTGTTACTGCCGTGGTACCACTTATCGGCCCCTCACCATATCTGCCTGAAGTTCCACCCCCCACCACTATTCCAAACAACGGGTTTTTCTGGACCATTCCAATTTGCCTTATAATTATAGGGGTGCATCTGCAATATTACATCGACCGCGAAAGCAGCAACGGCAAAAATACACATTCGTGCATCAACACAGGCATGCCCGCAGACGGCGTATAAAATTGCATGCCGATTACACAAAGAGAACCCAGTGTTTTGACTGCGAACACGAAAAAACGGCTCTTCACAACACTCCGTCCGGCGGTCCTATTAAATAAGAAAGAATTGTAATGTTACGTAGGTGTCAGACAGTTGATACAAAAGATCCATGACATTATTTGTATTCTCCAGGGTCGAGGAAAGTCACCATCTTTCTACCTTTGCTTGTAAAATGACCTAAAAATGTACCGCTGAGGGGTTTCTTTCACTGGGATTCCCAAAATAACCCAAACATCTGCTTGGAGAGTAGTGCCAGCGCCGCAACGCATCCTGGGTCATTACGTAACAAAATGGCGCGTGTTTCGAAGAGAAGAATAGTTCACTCGTAAATATATTCGAGATTCTCCGACAGTTTGTTGTAAATACGAACCGTACATGGCCGACATACCTAGGAGATAGTCGTCTGCACCCCTGGAGAAGATTTGGAGGTTCCCCTGGATATCTAAACCTACTTTCTATCCCCGATAGTATGGTGAGTCTAGCGCGATGGTGGGGAGGGGGGCACGTTTGACAATGGATAATAATTTTTGAAGCTAGCTGACGTCGTCTTTCTTGGTTCTCGAAGACACTATCTTACTTTTATTACATTTGGGGTGTATAGTAAATACATTCCAAAATAATTCTGCATCACAATTTTGGTATGATCACAAGTTATGTGACTTCAACTACTGTATCTTCAGAGACGTAGCCAGGCTCCCAGCCAGCTGGCTGCAGGCAAACGTAAGCCTGGGGATGATGATGAAGACTGGAGACCAAACAAGGTGGGTCTCATAACTTGGGTCTTATTACTACTGTTAGAATTAGTAATTAAGTTTGTAATTTCACACGTACACACAGGGTTTGATGTTGTACTGTGCATCTGTTCAGGTGATTATGATGCAAAGAAGAATTTAGTAATTTGGTGCACTCAATTCAGGTACATTATTGTCTAGTACAAACTTATGTATGCTTTGAAATTGAAGCTAGCAAAATGAGATAACAACCAATTAACCAAACAAAAAGTTAATGATTCTAGATTAATTAGAATGGCCAGTTTGAAGCTGCTACTTAAGTGCAACTATACAATGTATTTGCAGTTACTGGTACTGATACTAGTGATAGCACAATAAATAATTTAATTATCAATTATGTCCTAGCATCTTCTCGCTCCACAGGTTGCCAAGAGGACCAAAGCCAAGTCTGATGATTCTCCGTCCAGTCAGTTCATGTCGCCATACCGACGACCTCTGACCCCCATCACAAACCAGCCTCGTTTCCCTGACTCCTCATCGCATGTGAGTACCAGTTCTAGGTAGTTCGACATTTCGGCCCATGGACGTTTCAGCCACATGCAGAGGAAATGTCCTAAATTGGGGCCAAAATGTCCTCTGCATGGGGTTGAATCATCTTCAGCATGTGGCTGAAACGTCCTGGATTTGGGGCCGAAATGTCCATGGGCTGAAACGTCTGACATTTCCAGTTCTATTGTGCATTTGTAGGAGTATCTCTTCTACTGTACATGTGCATTTTTTTTACATGAGTCAGATGTAGCCCTAAACGTGTCATACAACAAAACAGTAAACAATGATAGATTGAATTTGTGTAAGCGTGAAACGTTTGGCATTGATTTTAAAACTGTTCAAAGAGATGTTTTATTGAATTGGAAACTTGCATTTTTGTTCTTCAGAGTCTCTAATCACTTAATTCTGTCCATACAGGAGGCCTTCATCAGATCTATCCTGTCCAAACCCTTCAAGATCCCCATCCCTAATTACAAAGGTAGGTAGGAAGTTTTGTGAGCTTTAGGACAAGCAAAGTCTTTTAATACCAAGTTGTAAAGAACCTCTAAAATATCAAACAGTTTCTAAGTGTACCGCGTAGATTTTTTTAATGTGCTGAAATGTAATTTTGTATTGTTTTGATTGAACCTATCAGATAAGATCATTTTATTGAGCAAAGGAGCTGTACATGACATGCTTTTCTAACAAGATGCTGGTTTTGAGTTTGAAAAAGACTGATATACTGGTACCAATGTACAATATTCATTTTATGACAAGTCCTAAACCATTCCATGGACACGCGCAAAAGAGGTCAAAATTGGAGTGAAGGTCAGGGGCACTGAAATAAAAAGTAGGATTTTTTGTATTACAGGAAAATGTTGTCACAATCACAAAGTTTTGAAAGTTTGTTTCTTTATTTGTCATGTGTCCAGGGCCCACGTTAAAGGGGTCATTAGGCGTACGCAGACAGGGCACTCGCAGGCCGCTGCATGACCCTGAAGAGGAGGGAGCTCTGGTGCTGTACCACCCTCCTCAACTCTCAGCACAGGAGGCTCTCAAAGTAGACCTGTGAGTTGTCAGTTTTATTTAGAAAACAGCCAACTGGTCAGAGGCTATTGTGGCTAGCTATCAGGGGACAAGGAAACACAAACTACGTAGAATTACTGGACTGAATGCTTAGTACCTACTGCAAAAGCAAAGTATGAAATCGTATTTTTAAAAAAGGCCTAAAATGATTAAACTCTCCAACTTGACAGTTACTGGTAGTTGAGAAGTCATGTTTTATCACCTTAGCTTTGGTCTAGAAACAATTTTTCTGTTGCTATGATCAGTGATCATAATATAGTCTGATATGATAAATATACATGTATGTTTCTAGACATATTTTCAACACTAATCATTCTTGCATTTTCTTTTCCTTAGAGAGAAGCATCCTGTCCATGGTAAGTTTTACCCTTCCCTTCATGGTACCGTAAACAATTTGTCACACCAGACTAATCTCCAAGCAGATCATACAGTGCCAAGGCAGTGTCCATTGGCCAGAGCTCTAGCCACCATGGCTAATACTAATAGACATTGCTCTGGCCAATGGATACTGCCAGTGACTTTCCAG